TCGTGGGACTACGGTCGTCTCGTCGTGGGCGCGCACCCTTCGCATCGTGGGACAGTAAAGGTAGGTTCCTGATTGCTACGTGGGACTGGAGTTGAAGATACATCGATGGACGGCGAGGGACTACGCGCAACGGTACGTTATTATAAATAATTTATTCTTCTCACCTAAAAAGCACCTCACTGTTACAAAAGTTGCTTTTTTATATATATTATCTTTAAATTCTTTTTAAATTCTCTTTAAATAGTTTGAAAAAAGATATCCTTCATATATGGACATATTTTATATCTGATGATGTTTAATTAGATACAATGATATATGAGATCTTTTCAATCTCATATAAAATTATTATGTATACCTAGATATAGAATTTGAGCATATATAAAGGAAAAATAATAATTTAAAATTAAATAATCGATTGTTTCCTATCTCTAGCATGAAAATTTTTGAGAAGAATAAATTATTCTGCATGAGTAGTAGTCGCACTGATTTTTCAATATATTGTCACTNCGTATAATCCTGTAATTCCAAAACGCAAATTTTAGAGAAGAGCAGTTTAAAAGTTTAAAGTTTCATATATAGTTTCCTTAGTTAAGGGATCTTTCGGTTTCAAATTTTTACTTATAAATATTGTTTTAAATATTTGGCGACCATAAAGAACATGACTTTCTTAACTTGTTACTATGCAATAAACTGAAAATCCGGTATGTGACACTTATGTAATTATACGTAGGGAGTGACGATATATTCTTTTTTGATATAAAATGTCTATATATTTGTATATAATATTTTTTATATATGTGCTTTTTTTAATATATATTTATCTATATTTTGTACATCTACTTTCATATTTCTATATCACTTTCTCTTAAAGAACCGATATAGAATTTTTTCTATATGTGCTTTTTAAATTTTTTTTATATATATTTATCTATATTTTCTACTTTCATATTTCTATATCACTTTCTCTTAAAGAACCGATATAGAATTTTTTTTCGAGACTTCTATATCACTTTCTCTTAAAGAACCGATGTGTAGAATTATTTTTTGAAACTTGTGTTCTTTCTCTTAAAGAAAGCTCAATGGGAAATATATAGCGGAACGGAATGTGCGGAATCAACTCGACCAATCATAGCCATTCCGTTTTCTTTCCTTCGCTTTTTCTGTGGTTACGATTGGTCGAGCTGGTTCTGCACATTCCGTTCCGCTATAGATTTCCGCTCAATGGGACATCGCCCTTAGAGTGCCAGTACATGAAGCGCGGAAACGCGGAAAATAGTAACTAGATTCCGCGTTTCCGCGAATTGAGTTTGTTTCTTTTTGCACGTTTGAGCGGAAAAGCAGAATCCGGTATTTCCGTGTGTATCAAGTACATTGTACAATTGTACAGAAAATAAAAACGTTGTTAATGGATGGTCCAAGGCTTCTTTTTTCGTTTGATGGCTCTGAAAGAATCTCTGCCACATGGCCAGGAATCGCGTTGACAATATTTTGACGCTCTTGTTCCGCGGGTTTGTTTCTTCTTATATTACATGAAGCACAATTACGGCGGAAAACCGGAACGATATAGTGACAAATAGATATTTGTATTTATTTTAAAAGAAATTGATTTCTCTTAATTCACTGCAATTTTTATTAATATGCTTATTTTTTTAGTTTATCTATTGAATACAAACATGATATTTGATGCTTTCGCGGTGTGTAGTATTAACATACAAAGATGTTTTTTCGGGTTTTAACCGCGTTAGTGTCATTTTTATACCGACGTTTCGTAAACATTACAGCTCACTTCATCAGGGTTTGAAGAGCAGCCTGATACTAGTATAAAAAACCTAGTAAAAAAAACAATGCGGGGACGAGGCAATCTTTGGGTGCTTTCCAACCACGTACACAGGCGACACTGGTCTAGTTTCCACCGAAACCCTCAATTCGGTTCCACTCCGGTACAGATCAAATTTAGTGTTCCGTTTCCATTGGAAGTAGAATAGAAGTGATAAAAATTGATATTTCAGTAGAGCCAACATAAACCTCGCTTGTGTAAATATAAACAGACATAACCTGAAAAGAATATAATCTGAGAAACTTCTAATTGACTCCGCGGAAATGATTCATATATTTTATCTTTTTATTTTCAACTTGCATCGATTTCTTAACAAGTCCCGACATAATGCAGAAATAATAAAAAATAGAGGTTGACATTTAGTTTCAAACGTTTCCACCGATTAAAATTGTATGTCAATTCGCTGCTACTCCGATAAAACTGAATTGAGCGCAATTCGACGTGTTTCCATCGACTTAAATTTGATTTTACGCCGCAGTAGGTGTGAATTAATGGGTGCGTTCAGACAACTCAACGGTTGAGAGATCATCACTTATGATAGGACTATTCTTCAAAATGTGCTACGGTTCCAAAAGTATGATCCAATCAGAAGTGATTATCTCTCAACCGTTGTGCAACCGTTGAGTTGTCTGAACGCACCCAATGTTTCGATGGAAACTAGACCAGTGTGTCTCACTCACATTAGTGGACACATTGGGTTCGTTCAGACAACTCAACAGTTGCACAACGGTTGAGAGATAATCACTTCTGATTGGATCATACTTTTGGAACCGCCGCCGATTTTGAAGAATAGTCCTATCATAAGTGATGATCTCTCAACCGTTGACTTGTCTGAACGCACCCAGTGTTACACAGTGTCGCCTGTGTACGTAGTTGGAAAGCACCCTTTATGTAGCAGCTAGCGCACCGTGCGCGAGTTAAAAGGTTATGTCGTACATCTACAGAAATGGTACCAAAATTCTTATTTCGTCGTGTTGTAACTCACGCAACGTGCGCAACATACTCCAAAGTTTTGTTAAATCCTCTATATATTTCCACTGATAGATGCAACGCTGCGTTCATGTCTGCTCTGCCTCCTGACAGTCCAATGAATGTTTTTGATAGAAATGCCAAGTTATTGCATCGCGAACGCGCTGCCAAGCGTGTCGATGCTCATCTGTACGATTATATTAAGGACGAAGTGGGTGAGAGATTGTCCGATCGGATATTTGATATCAAACGAAAATTTTCAAAGGTCCTTGATCTTGGGTGTGGTCGTGGACATGTATCGAAGCGAATTCTTAATGAGTCTGTGGAAGAATTGACACTGGTAGACATGAGTCCAAGTTTTGTGCAACAAGCTGAAACCACCAAGGGGATAAAAATTCGGAAAAGAGTTGTTGACGAAGAGAATTTATCTTTTGACGCCAACAGCTTTGATATGGTAATCAGTTGCCTGAGTCTTCACTGGGTAAATGATCTACCTGGATGCTTTAGACGGATCAATAACAGTTTGAAGAATGACGGAGTTTTTTTAGCAGCTGTATTTGGAGGTGATACATTATATGAATTGAGGTAAACTTTGTCTAGATATCGCGAGTAGAGTATCTTGATACTACATTGAGATACAAAATATATATATATATATATCTAGTGGTGTCAATTATTTCTGAAATTTATTCTGATAATACAGAAGTTCCTTGCAATTAGCTGAACTTGAAAGACATGGTGGAATCTCGCCGCATATTTCACCGTTTGTGGAAATCAGGGATATTGGAGCTTTGTTAACAAGGGCAAATTTTACTATGTTGACCATTGATACCGATGAGATAGTTATTGGCTATCCAAGTATGTTTCATCTCATGTGGGACTTAAAAGGTGATAAAAAAAAAAAAATGTTTTACCACAATAAAAATTAGAGTTCTTAAATAGACATTTGTGTATTTTTTGTGAGAAAAACTTTATTTTTTTTTAGGAATGGCTGAAAATAACACAGCCAGAAATCGTAACTTGCATATATCGAGAGATATATTGATCGCAGCTGCATCTATATATAAAGAGCTCTATGGAAAACCGAAAGAAGATAACACCATATTTGTTCCTGCAACATTTCAAATAATATATATGTTGGGATGGAAACCAGATCCGTCGCAACCGAAACCTCTTGAAAGAGGAACGGGACAAGTATCGCTCAAAGACTTGTACAAACTCGATAAAATAATCAAATCCAGGGAGAAAACAAAATTAGGTAAGGATGATAAATAATTTATTTAAATATTCACAGAATGTATATTGATAGATTATAAGTGTACTGCAATAATTTGTATATAAAAGTTCTTTTTCACCTAATAGACAAAAATATTTTATTAACTGTATCTTTTGTTTGTTTCTCTCTTATTATCACGTTTCTATAATAATTAAGATTTGTTGTCTTGATCTTTGTGAACTACAATGCCTTTTTCTATAAGCTCTGGAATTTCGACTGCTAACCAAGGTCCCAACTAAAAAAAGAAACTTTTTGTAATTTGTTATAAAAAAAAGTTTTGAACAAGTTTTCTTACAGAAATCAGCATTTTTTCGTTATACACGCGTGCAATCTTAATATTATATATGTAAAATTATTATTTCAACTTACACCAAGAGCCATTGCGTGAGCAATGCCAAACCTGGGAACGTTTCGAGCCCACAATGGCTTGAAGTGGTCGGTAAGACAAATTTTACCACCTCTGTACATCTTTGCTGTTTTACCATCTAATTCTGGTAAAGCGATTTCCGGTGCTGTTGCGGGATATGTAATGGGAATCTAGTATTATCGGAAAGAAAAAACACATTTTATTAAAATTTATATTTTAAAATAATTACGGATTGTGGATACAACTATTTTTGTATTTAAATAAACCAAAATAAAATGGCAACTCTTTCTGTTACAAACTACACTTGTATGAATATATATACTTTGTTACAAGCATTTACTTACGTCAAATTCTATATCAAATTCATATTTTAGGAACTTTTCAATATACCAGCATTTTCCAAACCATTTGGTACCTTCCCTATTTGATTCTAGCCGAAACCAGTCGTTGTCGGCCTCTTTATTATTTTTAACATACTACAACAGACAATTACAAGGTTTTTCTCTTTTTGTTATATACAAAGTGCAGCAGGCCAGGTGGTACAACCACAAATGTGAAGTAATCTCTTGTGTAACAAAAAGTTGAAAATGTAAATCAAGTAATCATCTTTCGTCTGATTATACTTGTTCTGTCGCATATAGGTCTTCTTATTGGTCATTATTGAATATTAAAAAAAAAAAAATTAGTTTTCATAATATACGCAACGTGAATTTATAGACGTAATATTGCAAATAACAGCCAGAGTTATACTGTTCACATATAATACAATCTGTTGGTAGAACTATTACTCGCGGTGATAAATCAAGTTCTAATAAAAAAGAGTAAAATGTAGAGTAGTGAAACAAAAGAAATTGACGACCATACGGATGTGTGTAGTTGCTACATCCATATGGTCGTCTGTGCGAACGGAAAACTGTCGTTGTAACATCTCACACCTTGATAAGAGCTTGATATTCTTCTTTCAATCTTTGCAGCCACAAATCCTTATCTCTAGGACCAGCTCTTGTTTGCAATAACTGAATGTTACTTAGGGTTTTTCTCGTTGATTCATCGACCATTTTTGATTGTACTTGAAGAAGTTGAAGGTTATGACGATCCAGTGTTTGAGCCGAACGATAAATGTAATACTAGCCTAAAGGGCTGTCTACAATGAATATAGTAAGGCTGTAAAAAGTAGAGTGAGGGCGATGTCCCATTGAGCGGAAATCTATAGCGGAACGGAATGTGCGGAACCAGCTCGACCAATCGTAACCATAGAAAAAGCGAAGGAAAGAAAACGGAATGGCTATGATTGGTCGAGCTGGTTCCGCACATTCCGTTCCGCTATATATTTCCGCTCAATGGGACATCGCCCTGAGGTTCTGGAGTTACATTGAAACTTACTAAATTGACCAATCGCAATTGACTCGCAATCGATTGGTAAGGGCGACGTCCCATTGAGCGGAAATCTATAGCGGAACGGAATGTGCGGAACCAGCTCGACCAATCATAGCTATTCCGTTTTCTTTCCTTCGCTTTTTCTTTGATTACGATTGGTCGAGCTGGTTCCGCACATTCCGTTCCGCTATATATTTCCGCTCAATGGGACATCGCCCCAAGTTAATCGTAGATAGTGGAAACGAGCCTTGTACCTTCTTAAAGCTTAAGTTTTACGCCTTAAATTCTTCTTGTAGACGACCCTTTATGTGGAATGGTCTTTATAGAGAATAGCTGTCGGGAAGTATGAAAAAATTGCGCGTTGAAACCAAGCTGTAAATTGGTAGCAATGCGGCACAAAAGTTTGCTCTTTGTTGCCATTGTTGAAACACAACAGACGCGTCCTAAACAAGCGAGAACTGTCATTGTGTCTCGAGTCACGATAAACAAGTGTATAAAGAAATTTTTTTTATAATTAAAAGATATCAAAGGCAATCATGGAGGCGTTATTGCCTTCTGAAATAGCTCGTTTGGTTCTTGGTAAGTCTTTTCTAACTTGTTTTTTTAATCACTTTTCTAATTAAAGAAAAATCTCTTTTCTTTATCTGCTATCCTTTTTGTTGGGGGTAGACCATAATTGTTTTTTCTGTCACTTTGTTTTTTTTTTCATGTTGCAAGCTTCTGGTCTATAATACGTTGGAACGAGCAAAGTATACGCAAACTGATAGAAGTTTTCTTATTTTTTATTGTATATATTTTTATTATTTCTATTAACATATATATTAATAGTTTGATATCTTTTATTTTTTACTACTAATTGTTGAGCAAATCGATTTGATTATTTAAGTGAAATAAAAACTGATTTGAGTGTTATAATTTATGATTACATATTATATAATTCATTTGTATACTTTTTGCTTCTAGGTTATTTGGAAGAACAAAAATGTACGGAAGCAGCCAAACTATTTTTAGAAACATCTCCGCATTTACAAGAATGTCGCACAGTACTTACTCATGGAAGACGATTTAGCACAAAAGTTAATGGTTTTAAGTTGATGGATGTTATTGAGAAGTTCTCTGCTATTAGTAGTATGAGTGAGTTGTAACTATTATGAACAGCAAATATTACTGATTTAGGGTGCGGTCAAAGCTTTGCTTCAAAAGTTTCAAAGCATATATATATGTATATATGTATATAAATTTTGATACATTTCTCAATATGTGTTACTCTTTTCGCAGTTCAAGAGAGATTTAACAAAGTTACGGATTGTGAACAGTCGAAGCATTGTGGAGATGTAATAGAACAACTAAAGTTTCTTGTGGAAGAACCACGCGGTCAACGATTTGTTGTCAATATAAATGTACCTTCGCAGGTAGTTTGTTACGTTTGTTAATTATTTTTCAACTAAATCCTTTATATTTAGCAAAATTTACGTATTTTGTATAATTTGTTTTTTTTTCTCCAGAGTAACGCGCAAACATCAAATGGTTTGCCTGTTCTTGCGTGCAATATGCGTAAAAGACGTCACAGTAATAGTGAACGTATTAAACGTGTTAAATCTCAGTCGAATTTGGAACAACAGATGGACCCGGTAACGAGTCCACGTATGTGGTTCGCCATGTTTTTTACTTGTTGTGATATTTATGTGATATATTTTAAATCGTAATGTTTTGATAAAACAGCGAGTTGTCACAACGTTGACGCGACTCCGCTAGAGAGTTTGCCTGGAAATATTGATCTGTTTAAACAGACGGAATGCGAATCGGTGGAGAAAATAGATGGTAATGTTGCGCAGGAATTTCGCGAACAATGCGATTTTGATAAAATTAATATTACGAACGCCACCGCCATTGGATGCAATAGAAGTAGCAATGCTCGGATGAATACAGGTGCTTGTGATATCAGCGAGCCAAGTAAATATAAAGTAATAAAACCAGCGTTACTTTGTTTTTGCTTTTCTCTTGCTTCGGTTTCTCTGTGTAGATGGTATTGCGAGCGTTGGAAGTTGCGAAATGGAAGTTGAAAGGAAAAAGGAACAACTTTGTACGGTACCTGCGAGATATACCACAGCCACGAGTACGGAAGAGTTGTTGACTTTTGCTAGCACCGAAGTTCAAACTACTCCGTATTCCGAAATACCCGAGTCAGAATCCGAATCGAATGACGAGCCTATTGAAAATCTCAGTGTAAGTGTGATTCAAAGTGATAATAAATATTGTTTGCTGTTTGTTTCTATTTGTTACGTATATATAAAGTTTACGTTGTAAAGTGTCCTCTCGTATACATTTCCAGATATTAACGAAAGAAATCTTGAATCGTACAGAATTGCAAGAATGTATTGCGGAAAATATCAACAAAGCCATCGTTCCTACAGACCTGTCTTTCAAGGACGAGAACTTGAATGAATCGGTTGGTGAAGGGAACACTTCGTTCATGGCTGAATTAAATACTACTGCCATATATAAATCGATCGTTGAAGCAACGGAATCCGATCCTGTGTTTGAAAAATTTCTCAATGAGTTTATTAGGCCCTACACAGAGACCGATACAAGTCCGGAGGAAGATGGTGTCGAAGGAAAATCGAGTCCAAAGTCTTCTATGTACGCGTATATATTCTATTTCCAGTAGTTTGATTTTGATATTTTGTTATTGTTGCTACTTGAGAGCGAAATTCCTAAAATATTGCGACGCACATTTTCAGAGCGCAAAAAAAACAAACGGAAACAGGCGTGAGCAACGTTGTTGATTTGAACACGCTGGAGAGAGATAGCTCGGCGATAGCGGATACTGGAATATCTGGGGAAAATGATGAGGCACCGGACGTGCCTTTGAAACACAGACTTCGCAGTTCTTCCAGACAACAGTGTAACAAAATCGAGGACGAAGATCAAGACAAGACAAAGGATCGAGAAAGAGAGCAGAGCAGCGTTTTGGAAGATCAAAATGCTGCCGCAGTGCTGAGCATTATAAATGCCAATATTAATAATAACGGATCTGGTAAAAAGACTTTTGATGATGCGAAACAAAGTATTATTGCGAATAATAATAACGGTAATGAACAAAAGACGCAAATAGCGCAACCTGATAGAGCGATAAATAAAACTGATGTTCCGAATCCCGCGACATTGGCGGACATTCGGAATGTGAATAGTGCTTTACCTGCGAGTAGTACCGTACAATCTAAAGCAAAAAAGACGATGGTAAAACGACCGAGATCTACGAAATCTAAACGCGATCGAGCGATTGACAATAATAATTTAGCCATAACGGAACACGAAATCATGACTATGCCAACGTTAATAGTATGCTCGAAAGAAGAAGTGAAAATGAATCATTTTGTAGTTAAATCGGCTCCCACTTCGCGTTTCATTCCGATCGCTCCGAAGGAGAGCAGTTCTGGAACTGTGGAGACTGTGTATCTAAAAGCGGTAAATGTAGCGCAAAAAGTTCCAAGAGTTGGAACGACGCTGCCGGCGACTGTGGTGGCGGAAGAACCAAAGAATTCTATAATTCAATTATTTCGAGGAGAAAAAGATGGAGTGAACAAACAATTGAAATCTACGCAGAAAATTGAAACGACGATGCCGACTGTTGATATTCTTAATCAGCAAATACCCAATTGTCATTCGGTAGAATCGATGCGTACTGATTGTAAGATTGTTGGAGGAGAATCGATAACGCTTTATGGCAATGACGAAACCAGTGCGAAGACATCGTTGGACAACACCAACATGCCTATGATCAATCTTGAAGAGAATATCAGTCTGTCGGAAAGTGGATTTTCTCCGTATTTAAAGTTTAGTTGCAGCAAGACCAGCCAAAGTCATAATCTCTCGGATATTGATCTAGCACCCGTGATAGAAAGCGTGAAGAGTTCAGCGACAGCTGATAATAATAACAGAACCACGGACGCGCAGCTGTTGCCCGCTAATAACGCTGATATTATTACAAAACGTACGCCAAAGTCTTTGTTAAAAAGTAGGTCTAAAAATCATAGATTGAGCTTGTCTACACCGCGCAAACGAAGCAGTCATATAAGAGCGCTTGATTTCGGCACTCCTACGAGCACTCCTGTGAGAGTATTGAGTTCTGTTGCGAAAACGAACGGGGACGAGAACGCGCAGTTCTCGTCCGCGTCAACGAAACGTTTGAAATCGGTGTGCCGAACCTCGTTGTTTAGATCGCCGTCGCTCTCCGGTACTTCTCGTAAGCAGAAAAGTCCGTTGAAAGTTTGCCAGTCTTATAGAATTCCCATAGCGACCAGAAGCCCCGCACCCAAGCTGATGGGTGGTTGGGACAAGTATAACGGTGTTGGTGTTATTATAGGTGATGCGTCTCCGCGTGGGAGTACCAGTGCGTCTTGTTCTTCTTTGGAGGATAGAAATGTTCAACGTAAGGTGTCCAAGATAGTAGGAAGTTGGGACGCTGATTTGCGCAAAGGTATACAAATGAATATTGCGAAGGAGACTGAAATTAAGAAGTCTGCGAGAAAAAGAAAAGTTCTGAACAAGGGCAATGGTACGGTGGAGATAAAGACTAAATATAATCGATCGGCAAGAAACAAATGTAAGAAAAAGATTTGTGAAATAAACAAGGTATCTGATAACGACGACGTGGAAAGAATCGGCGAATCGAAAGAAAGAATTTCTGAGAGATACTTGAAAAATGCAGCGTCGGAAAAAAATTTTGCTAGTGTGGCAACGGAATTGCGAAGTAACGAGATGGAAGAGATTAATGTGACGAATCTTACTGCTAACAGATCCGAAAAAATTTCACCAACGGGTGATAATTGCGAGGCGGTACGAGTGAGTAATACAAATGCGCTGAAACATAATATAGTTGAAGAGAAGAAACCCGTAAAAAAATATGCGCAACTGACAACAATAACGACTAATATTAGAAAATCTGATATCAAGAGAGACAATCGCGAAGAAGATACGCAAATTTCCGAGATTTCGAGACTTCTATCTGCGGATTCTGTTGCGCGATTGCCCGACATGATCAGCTTGGAAACGCCTAAAAAACTCGACAACATCGGTCCTCCACCGACACCGAGAGTTCTCAGTCCCAGTAGCGGTACGCCATTCGTTAAGGTTAGCGAAGACTCCGGTAGACTGCGTAGCTTCATTCCCACGCCGGAATTTCCGATAACTCCGGGTATAAATCTGACTCCGAAAGAGGAGACAACCAGAGATATCGTAAAAAGAGACGAGTATAATTCGCCGTACTACAAGCCTACTTCTGAGCAAACTCCAAATTCTGACTCGTCGATAGTGTCTAAAAGTGTGCGGGAATCGCCCGTAATATCTTCGTCTCACATAAAAATACATTCGACGCGCAACAATTTTGCTTCTCTTAATACTTATCAAACATGTACTTCTAAATTGGAAATAACGCAATTTGAGGTGATTAAAGAGAATTTACCGAGGGAAGAAGCTATCAAGGAGTTAAAAATTTCATCCACTTCTAAAGATTCGGCGAGCACACCGGAACTCAACACTCCTAACGTTGTCGTAGATGATCACCACCGCGTGGACCTTGTAGAGATAAATGAATTTAAAGACGTGAGTGAACATTGCGAAAAAATAATCGATAATAACTACGTTGTCGCCGATGTTCGCAATGATTCTCATAACGAATCTGCGTTAAGTAACATCTCTTTGTCGACCACTTCATCGTCGTCTTCGTCATCATCTTCGACGTCATCATCCTCGTCGTCATCGTCATCGACTACATCGAATAATTCGACTGTAGGTACGTGTTCGGATACTTTGCAAGTTGAAAAATGCGAAAAAATATCACGGAAAACAAGTCACGCAAACACCAGTAACGATTCTGCGGAGAACAATATAGTTAAAACGGTAAACGATGTAAATTTCCAAACTAATACTGATAAAACATCGAATAATGATGTTTTGATTGAATCTGAGACCTCGCCGAAGAAAGTGTTTGCGATCGCAAAAACCGACGAACAGATAGAAGCTACGATGAAGGAAACACCTGCGAAAAATGAAATTCTGTTAAACGAAGATGATATTTCGGAAACACCCAGCAGCTCGAAGAGTGGAGTTGAAAATTTGACTAACTTGTCGATCAAAATATCAGCGATTATGACAGAGGAGGAAAAACGATCCAAATTAAGCAAACAGTCAAAGACTAATGTATATAATAAAATACAAATCAATAAATTAAAGCCTAAGATAATAAATATACAACGTATCCGGCGAGGATCGGTGATAATCGGTGAACCTGCGAGACCTGTTCATCAATTTGAACAAAACTCGCTCACATATAATCAAACTCTACAAAGGCAGCAATTGGAAGAAAAACGACAACGTATGATCGCAAAGATTAAGGACAATTCAACATTTAATCATCCTAGTGTACCGAAACATAAACGCGTTATGATGAGAAAAACTTCTGATAATTTCAAAAGAAGCGCTCAGTTTGGTAGAAGACAACGAAATGTGCAATTAATGGCGCATAAATATTCTCGTAAAACGAGCATCAATAGGAACGTTAATAAAAAAAATACGGATCTTGAAGATCATAAAAAGCAAAAAGCTTCTACGCGGGAAAGATATACTGTGCGAAATCTCGTAGAAGAATGTGAGAATGAAGAAGAAATGAAAAACCGCGTGCAAAGCGTCGAATCAAAACGTACAAACAAGTTAAAGAATTCTGACGACAATAGTAATGAGCCACTCGATAATCAGACGACAAAACAATTATACAATAATCATATCTCGAGAGTAGAAAACGATGCGATAAAAAATAATAACAAAAGTGATGAGTTTACGCAGTCGCATAATTCAAATGATCCAGATTGTGTAAAAGAAAAATCAGACAGTAAGGAGAATGCGAAAGAAAGCTGCTATTTTGAAGATAATATCGCTAAAGAAGAAATAGCGGATTCAGTTGAAGCTAATAATATGCGGATTAAAGAAGGAAGAGTTACGGGAAAAGAAAAAAATTTTGAAAAACACGTCGTCGTACAAGAAAAAACAGTTTTGGATAAAACAAAGAAAGAGATGCATAATCAAATAGAAGCACATAAAGCGAAACAGTTTGCAAATATTACTGATAAGTCTGAGAGTTGTATGATATTACGGTACAAAGTGGATTTAGTGAAGCGTGATTTGTTTAGTGACGGCGAAGAGAATGATCACAAAATATCATTGGATGTAAACACGAAAGATGATAAGACTAGGAAAATTACCAAATCAGAACCTCGAAATCAAGATTTTGTTGAAATATCGACGGAAAGGGAAAATGTTAATAGCGAAAATATCAAGCAGGAATTATCAATGAATAATTATCTTCAATGTTTACAATTAGTACCAGCGAATAAGAGTGAGCATTTCCACAATGAATTTGAAAATGAACAAGAACATGGAGAAACGCAACAAAACAAACATGAACAAGTTGATCGGCAAAATGAAGAACGTATCAAAGAGAATAAAAATCAAACTTGTGATGAATCTAGGCACCAAACAGTTGACAGTCCCAATTATAAAGCCGAGTATCACTTTGTGTATGACGACAACGTGCCGATGAGAAAGAGAAGACGAAGATATAGCGGACACGATCTACAGATCAAAATCAATTATGCCGATCTTTCCGACTCGAATCCTGTTGAATGCATTAAAGTGATGAAAGCTACCGAATTTCAAGAAATATTTAATTTATCGCCAAAACTATCTAAGAAACGGACGATGAATAAAAAATCAAACGTGCAAAATGAGAAAGATTATAAGACATGTGATTTTCAGACGGATAAAGATGCGATTGTATTAAAAGATATTGTTGCGAAACCCTTAGCTACCTCGTCTCCTACAGACGTGCCATCGAAAGCTAAAGTAAAGAAGGTGATTGTTAAGACTGCCGCAACAAATAAAGCTGATAATATAAATTCTGATGCAAACAAAAAGCAAGTATTTGGTGGCTATCAAGAGAAAGGTGAGATCGCAAAACGTTTCATAATTTGAAATAAAATAAACATGTATTATTGTTCTTTGCTAAAAAAAATTAATGTTAAATAAATAACATTTTTAATTTTAGAAATTACTGTCAAAAACCGAAAGAGAAAGTTGTCGGAAACGAAAGAAATAAAACAGGTAACAAACCAAATTAAAATATTTGTTTCATCTTTAAAGGCATATAAAGAAAACTTGAGTGATAAAAAAAAAATCGTTCGCAAGTAAATCAATTATAGGTCAAAGTTTTCAGATGTAAGTAGCTTGAGAGAATGCAGGCTTGTGATTGATTTTCTTATTGCTTAAGTTATTCTTTTGTGTGCCATGGCTTTTAACCGTAATTGTACGTTGTATAATTGTTTAATTCTTTTTTAAGATTGAAAAGAAGCCATGCACAACTGATCCGCAAACATTACTTAGCAATTTGGACAGTATACGTTTGGACAAATTTCTCGACACAGTTCACGGACGTAAAGCTTAATTGCTCTCTGTAATCTTGCAAATGTTACATATCTGTGTAAATATTGGTTTTTGTGTACATATGTATGTAGTTTTTCTATTTTTTTACGACAGAGTATTAAAGTACTCACGCAGATAGATAGATGGAGAGGGGAAGAAAGAAAGATGCCAAACCATAAATTTTTTTTTCTTTTTTTTTGTTTAAAATATTAAATAGAGTTAGAGAATAAGTTAGAGTTTTTCACAGGAATTTATACATTGTTTTTAAAAGCCAATCATATAGCAGTGTGTATATAGTAAATAAAATAATTTATTCTTTTTTTTACAAAAACGAATTGGTTTTTTTTTTTTTTTCTTCAAATTAGTACATATTTTCTCATAAAGATAAATATAGCTTTTCAAATTTAACTTTGTAGTTATTGTTTACCAAATAAACTTAATTTTTCATCAACTACCTTGATTGATTAGTGTGTAAAATAGAATAAGTTAAATGGTTTAAATCTTTTCTGCTTGAAACTAAAAGTGATATGTTTCGTTATTGAAGTATGTTTGAAAAATACTGTAATGAGTAATTGCATATTATTGTCACTTTTTACTACTATCTTATACTTTTTGTGTAAAAACAAAATTTATGAAACTAAAACAAATTTATTATAAACTTCATTATAAACTTTGAAATTACCGGTAAACCAAATTCTTGAAGTTGAATGTTGAGTTTATTCTTTAATGTTTTGCGTACAAGTTTTATTTACTGTTCAGTTATTTGTATAACAGCCAGTGTTAAAAAAACTGTCTGATTATTTTTAATATCTTATACATGTTTCAGAGAAATCAATGAATACAAAATACAAACACAATGATGTTTTTAAAATATGAAAAAAATTAGAAAAAATCAGAATTTTAACATTTTGATTTTGCAACTTTGTCTATTTCGTGAATAGCATCCATAAATTTTCGCCATTGTTGCATAGTTAAACATATCCCTACAAAAGAAAATTTATTCATGAATTATATTTTCATTCTTAATAAAGTACTTTTTATCTAATTTGTAGGTAAAATTACTTTTGATAAAACAGACAAATTTCCCAATTAAAGATAAAATCACCTTTTTTTCCAGGTTTCAAATCGCCATCTTTGTCGTAATACATTTCTCGGATATCTACGTAATATTTGCCTTTGAAATTTCTCACATTTACTTGACGATTGTTGCCCAAATCCCAAACAGATTCTTCATCTTCTGTTTTTGCTTTTTTTGGTAATGGTTTATCTTCGTCTGAAGTTCTCTGTTTCTTTTGTTTCTTCTTTTTTGATTTTGTTTCCTGTGAATAAAAGAAATACATATTTTGTAAGATAATAGATGTGTGTGTGTGTGTGTATGAAATGAAATATATTTCAAATATATTAAAAAGATTATAAAAGTATTTAAAGATAACAGTACCTCTTCGCTGTCGTCGCTGCTAGACACGTATTCTTTTGATTTTGGCATCTTCGGTACGAGAACAATAAGATCGCTACGATAGAATCTTTGAAATATTCAGTATATTAAAAGTTTGATCAATATACAAAAGGACATAAAAAAATTTTGATTTATGCGCACTATATATTATAGTTATTTTAACATTGCATAGTGATAAATATTTTGTCAGTAATTTTTACCATAAATTGGTTGAGAAATTTACTTAACAAATATATAACATCTAATTTTTTTAAGTTATTAATAAACAATACATGTGAAAAGATATCACTTGACTGGCTAGTGGGCTTTCTACATGCACCAAAAATATGTGTAAAGATATGTAATGGACGTATAACCTACGTTCTTTTCTCACAATTGCTCTTAGTTTTACAACTTATGACTCGGTAACTCCTGGGCTTCTGTGACGTCTGTCCATATAAGTCTATGTAGTTTTTATCTTTTAAAGATACAAATTATAATCCGAATATCTACAAATCAATAAAATAATACTTCAATTATTTTATTATTGCTTATAAAATTAAATTGTACAAAAACACACAATTATTGTGAAGATACGATACGGTTTATTTTTTAGACCAAACAGTTCGACACTGGTTCGATGTTGTAACGGTTAGATTTCGTGGCTTGATAAGGTGCAGATTATTGAAGCCTATGTCACACTACGGATTAGGATTGAGATTGGATTGCAATTTGGCCAATCAAAGCGAAGATCACTAAACTTAGGGTTGGGTTTTCTTTCTTCTGATTGGTCAAATTTCAATCCAATCTCAATCCCAATCCGTAGTGTGACATAGGCTTAAGAAAATTGACCAATCAAAATCCGAAAGTGGTGGGGATATAGAATACATTCTGATTGGTTAATTTCCTTACGGCTGCGTCTTACGTTCTTACGTAATTTTATGTGCGATGGCCTTAATGCGTGCTTAAAGCGAGAACGCACCCACGGTGAATATCGAAACGTAGTCGCGATAACTTGAGATTTGAAATTGCTCCGAAAATATTTTCGCACAAAAGGTGCACTGAAGATAAAATGAAAAAAAAATGTGACACAAATGTAAATGCGGAAGAAACAGGTTTTTGTTATTGTGAATATTAATGAGTCGCGTTGTTGTGTACGTCGAAGAAAAGTAAGAGTTGATAAAAAATTTGGTACATGTTTTTTTACTTGAGTTTGCCAATAGGAGAGATATCAGACACTCTTATTTTTCATCGAATACAAATGTGTCTGCATATTTACTTTGTAATTTACTACTTAGTTTGTTTTGTGTTTTATTAATTAGAAATGTGACAAAAAACTTTTCTTTATTGTTGCAGTATTTATTTTCTAAAAAAAGCGCATAAACGTAACACATGACGTCATTTGAAGATAAGAGCAATTGTATAAATGTACGGTATTCTATTCTATGGTTTCTTCAAGTCTAACAAAAAACCCGGTGGTGGCGTAGTAAATACATTCCGTTTATCCACAGTGATTAACCATTCAGGATTCAAAGAAACTTCGTAATCACGTAGAATTGTTATCAGTCCTACAGCAGTTTGCAAATTTCCCAGTCGCATACCTATATATGTAAGTATGGTAAAATAGAATTGCTTAAAAAATTAGATGAATATGTAATAAGCAAATTATAAAACATTTCTTGTGCTATTTTGCGTGTGAACAAAATTGTTTCAATGTTTTAATGTCAGGAAAAAGTAGTAATCAAAGTACACACATTTATAGTGCCTTTGTACAAAGTTTTAGATCCGCCTACGCAATTAGGGCCGCATTTTCGAGGAGCGCGCTATTATTGTATCTTTATTGCTCGTTAGATGTAAAACAAAGATAGAATAACGCAATAGCGCGCTGATAGCACTTTCTACACGTAGATCATTGATTGATTTACTGACCTATACAATTTCGCGGACCCTCGCCAAAAGGTAAATAAGTACAGGATACGATCTCGTTTTTCCTTTCGTCGCTGAATCGTTCCGGATCGAAACTAGTAGGTTTTGAGAAATATCTGGGATCAGTGTGAAGACCGCGCAATGCGACGTACACTGGTGTTCCTTTCTCAATAGTTATTTTCGTGTTAGGAAACTGCAATAAATGTTTTTATGAGAGCAATCTGCAGAGTAATTTTGTGATTAGCGTCTCTTAGCTTGTTTTTTCAATATATACAATATATAAGACTTTGTCTTTGATTAAAGAATTTATTATGGAAGAGCTATCTGGAGTGCTTTTGCTTGTTCAAGTAATTACTGTGTATTTCGTAATAGGAACTCTGTCGAGAATTGGCGCAGGTGGATACAATCGTAGTGTCTCGTTTATCACTTGATGCAAATATTTCATCTCGTGAACCACGTCGTATGTGACAGCACCGTTCGCTGCTTCAATTTTCTCGAGTATCTCCTGCCTTACACGTTTTTGCATCTCCGGATGTTTAGCCAGCTCGCAGAGAGTATAGGTCATAGTAGTGATGCTGGTCTCGCGACCGGCTACAAAAAAAATCGCTGCTTGGGCGACGAGAGCGTCTCCTTCAAATCCTGAAACAATTGATTCGGGTGTATCAAAGTAAGAAATGGATATTTTATATTTTGTTTTTTCTGTGACACGGAGTGAAAAAGACGTTTACAAAATAATAAATTACTCACGGAACGGAGCGTCATCTGGTTCGTTCTTTAACTGTAAAAGAGAGTCTATTAGATCTCCTTGTTTTATCTTCGTGACGCTTCTACTGTCCATTGAATCCCAAAAGACTTTGCGGAAATAATTCGTATAATCTCCGAGTATCTGCCCGCCTACATATTTCCCAAAATCCGGCAAAAAAAACATGATGAAGAATCGAAAAGCTCTCAGAAAAGTCACTTGAAAAGCTAGACGTGCTGTATAAATGTATAAAACGTTTGAGTTTTATTTCTTACAGTTTACATGTTATTTTTATATATATATTTGTTTATTATATGTTTTATACATTGTGTACTTGTGCTTACAATTTTTATAAAACTCTGGCTCTTGCGGATCAAAGCAATTCGTGCGAATCCCAAACGCCACGGAAGATATTATGTCGGTAGTATATTTATAGAACGTGTCTTTGGCGTTAATGGATATCTTGGAACTATTTGTAAATCGATCGCGTAGATGATCTCTCATCTTTTCTCCAGATTCTTTCATCAGCAGAAAGATGCTCTTTAACTTACCACTCGTGAACACCGGTGACATTTTTGTTCTATATATAAAAAAGAAACTCGAGATAATCTTTTGATAATTATTTTATATTAGAACAGAAACAAAAAAAAAAGATCAAATTTACTTCTGTATATATATTTATATATATATCTGTGTGTGTGTGTGTGTCAACGTGTAATCGTAAATAATAAGCAAATATCTCGTTTTTACCTCAGGTACTTCCATTTGGGATTATCTATAGAAAAGAGACTCCAACCGCCGATTGTGTCAGATTTGCTTCTCGCGGTAAAGTGATGATTCGGGAACACGTGAAAATCTTTGATCATTATTTGCTTGATCAGCTCTGGATTTCTTACCAGCAGAAACGGCTTGTGCAGTATATAAATTCCAAGGACGTCATCATCGCAATTGGCTTGTTGATATAACTCGCCAAGAGTCACTGCTGGCGACTTGCGCATCAATATTGCGTCCTTGAAATGGCCGAAGAACCAGTGCGCGGGTAACGAGCGTACTCCGTGTCTCTGCCAATAGGTGTGTTTCCATTTCATCCAGAAGTAAAACACCGCCAGAAACAACGAGAATATCAGGAGTACGTTGCAAGCTGCGCAGCCGGTCAGTATTGTCATTGTTAGTTTTCTCACTGACAATTTGTCTGTGAATTTCGTTTAATGTTTTTGTTTAAATTGCAAAACTTTTTCCTTTTTGCTTGAAGTAGAACTCCCTTTTTTTTATGTACAACTGCATATTATGCACCTTTATGTATTTCTTGCAAAAAATAAGCTACGTGCGAGAAGTATGTGCAAACCAGCATCAGCTGAGTCGACTGGCCGCGACTGTGCGAAAAGAGTGAGAGCGTATGTGCGTAATTTGCACGATGTGCAATGTCACTTACTCACGTTTATCAGTGAGATGACTGTTTGCTTTCAATATACGCTGTGTCATGAGATTAAAATAAAAAAATATTACAACTCTTGAATCTACTCTCTTTTCTCTCTCTTTTTCTAACAGTGCGTATATTTTTTCTGCCAAAAACTTTTACACCGTTGTAATAAATACATTTAAAATAAATTTATAATATATAGAATTTATTTTCTCTATATACTTTAAAATGAAAAAAAACACTTAAAAAAACTTTCGACGTACTTGTGTTATCAATTCAATCGAGTGATTACATTATTTTCTGCGCATAAATCACGTGTTAATGACTAAACACATTTTGCATGATTAGCGTTAATTCAAAACGCGTTATATCTTTTAATTAATAATTCACAGGTAGCTGATTATTGCGTAATTTTAAGTTTATTGAATATAAACATTTATCTATTCGGAAAAAAAGATTTTACACGTTTTCATTTTATTTTACACGTCTTTTGTTTATGAAAACAAAACTTTCAGTTTTTATATTTTATGCTGATTCTCTGACTGAATTTCTGTATCTGCAGAATGTTATCGAGACTTTATAGATACTATCTTGCGATAAGATCCGTAACTGATGAATTTCCAAATGTAACTTTTGAATTTATATCAATAAGAGTGAGATAAGTTTTTAAATTCATTGAATTTTGTTTTTAGACAATTTTTCGAAACTAAACATAGAAATATATAAACTGACAGTTAAAATATTAAGAATATAAAAGACAAGGTATAAAAAATATTGCTCGGACATTATATACTTTTTACACGTTTATTTTTTTATGTTTATTTTTAAACATCTGTACACAATATTGTCAATTTGTAAATACACCTATATAAAAGTATACTTTTCCATGATAAGATTTCTGCAAGCAAGATATAATTTTATTCTGCAGTAAATATAAATTGCATATTAATTAATAATTAAGTTTCTTATATTATTATGTTTATACACATGTTATCTTTACATATACCATCTTTATTATTATTTTTTTTTTATATACGTCATATAAATATATATGTACGCCATATTATTAAGTAAATAGATATTAAAGAAACGTGCGATATATTCTCTTAATAAATTTGCTAATATTTTTATTACAAGTTTTAGTATTTTTAGCTTTTTCATTATTATACCATTGAGCAGATTGATTAAACTTTAAACTCATGTAGATACAGGCGCGAATGTAGTTAATTTTATTAATTATTTAATAATGTAAATTATTTTTACAAAAGCATATGTAATACAGGCGAAAACGTTTATATATATGAAGTTGTACCAATAGTGTCTGAATAATATTTTAACAATGAAATTGTGCAAATTTATTGTAAAGGCGTTACCGTTTTTGCCTGTATTGTTTGTTTACGTATACATATACAATCAATTATATACTTTCATATGCATTATGTAATGCTAGACATAGTTTGTTGCAAGATCTTTATTCATAATGAAATAAATATAGAGCGCAATTTTAACAATTATTATTTTGTAATTTTTTTCACTAAAATTCGTTGATTTTATGGAACTGCTATTTGTTTAAAATACAAGTTAATTCCGTTGCCCGCTGCTGTAAACGTTGATCGCGTATCCAGAACGCTTATTTGCTCTTTATCTTGCCAAACCTCGTATTCACGCAAGATCATTGCCAATACAATTTTTGCATGCAACTGCCCTACTTTCATTCCTGATAACATTTCGTAAAATCGGATCAAATAACATCAGATTATTCGAAGCCTTTATCGTAACAAAGTAGTTTTTTTTTTTTTTACATACGTATTTTAGGACAGAGTGAATTCTTTACTGTGTGCATTGTCATTACTTCAACTATTACGTACCTACGCACATTCTCGGACCCGTTCCGAATGGTATGTAAGCGTCAGGGATGTGATTACTTTCAGCAAATCTATCAGGATTGTACATTTTCGGTTCGTCCCAGTACCGTGGGTCTTCTCCAAGACCGTACAAAGAGATGTATATTGGTGTACCTTTTTCGATAACAATATCAGTGCCAGGAATCTAAAATTTTATGATTTTATAGTTTTTCAGTACTTAATTACATTTATTACCAGCACAAATGTATTCTATAAGTTTACAACAATAAATTTTATTAGAAAGTTACTTTGTACTATAAACAAAGAAGTTATATATTTTGCTAAACCGATTTAAAAGTTTAGTTTCAGACCGACCTTGTAGTCTTGACGAGTGTATCTGTCGATAGTAGACACAGGTGGATGTAATCTCAGACTCTCAGCAATCGTTTGATTTAGATACTTCATGTTTTGGAACGCTTCGTATGTCCAACCGTATTTGTCGATTGCTCTGTTGATATCTTGGCGAGCCAACTCTTGATAATTGAGATGATTCGCCAATTCCATCAAAGTGAAGGACATGCAAGTGGCGCTTGACTCAAAGCCAGAGAAGAAAGTGCCAGATTGATACAATAGATTTTCACCTTCAAACTCTGCGACAAGCAATCGTCTTAATTTTTATTATTATTATTTCTTTGATTTAGCTGGCCTATTTTAACTTTGATATAACTAACGCACTCTGTGTTTGTTTCTATTACTAAGAGTTATATTATTATTGTTTTAAAACTGTAAGATGTAATTCGCGGTAAAATCACTTACTATAATCGGGATTCTGCTCGCAATGTTTTAACTCAATTAACGAATCGATGAAGTCACCTCGTTTGTTGCCGGTTTTCTCGCGATTTTCCATAGCTTCCCAGAAAATTTTCTTTACAAAGGACGAGTTAAATAACATTCTCGTGCCGATTAGTTCCACCAATTCCGGGATGAAGAACACTGTCACTAGGGCAACCATCCTCTTGAACGAGTGAAAGAACTCGGAAACTGCGAGAGTATCTCTGACTTGATACAAATTTTATTACACGATCTCTTACTAAATTTTTCAATTGTTTATTTAAAACTCTAACTTTTAAGTTAACTGTGTCTCAATTTAATCTCCGACAAGTTTTATCTTTCATAAAAAGAAAGAAATTTTATTGTGCCACTACTAATCAGAGTTTATTCTATATAAAGAAATAAAAAGATTGTACAAAACGCAATTTAATTATGATTCATTGTCTCGTGAAAAACATCTTGTGACAACTTAAGTGTCACAAGATTTTACTTCCGTTCGTCATAGAGTTCATGATACGAAAAACGATTGATAAGATAATTCGAAATATATATACATAGCGATAATAATAATCACATATATGGTTTTGTGCGATTTTTATTTATTTTCGAATGTGAAAAAAATGGCTTGGTGGAGAGAAATTTTTGATGCAACAATCGAGTCATCGATGCTGTGGAAACACTAAGTGCAATACTAATAAGCCAGCGTTTGATTCATTGGTTCTTCCGAAGAATAAAACTTCCTAAATTTATGCGTCGTTTCGAAATACTTGTCAATTGCTCTACGTAGAGGCATATGCTAATTAAAGAATCTAAATCGCGAATACCTGCCAGAGTAAACTCCGTGTTTGGACAATTGAAAGAATTCATTTTAGTGCCGAGAGCGACTGAAGCGATTAAATCGGTCGTAAATGTGTAACTAAGCTCCTGGGCGTTTACCAGCCTGATGTTGTCAGAATCTACTGGCCAACTCCTTAGATACTTCATCATCGGCGCTCCAGCTTCTAACATCAGCGGTAACATTTGCTTCAGCTTGCCTTTTGTTAAAGTCGGTGTGATTTTAGAGCGTAAATATTTCCAAATCGGATTTTTAAGACCGAATAGATTCTTCATGCCAATACTGTCTTTTTGTGTGGAACCTGCGAAATGTCGGTCGGAGAAATTCTCGAAGTCGCGAATCATAAATTGTTTAATAATTTTAGGATCGCGCAGTAATAAACAAGGCTTGTGGAAAATGTAAAATCCAACGAAAGGCACATCCGGCCGAGCGGCCTTGTGTAGTTGACCAACGTGCCATCCTGGCGCAGAGCGGAAGAGTACGGCATCCTTGAAGTTGCCAAAAATCAAGTTGGCCTCTAGAGATTCAACGCCGCGTCTCTTCCAGTAACTCAACTTATATCTGAATGAATATACAGAGTTGGAACATATGTGAGAAGTGAAATATACAAAAAAATATTTATGAAATTTTAAGTATTAATACTTTTTGTTGTTTTTGTCCCTTTTTTGTACATTATATCTTTTTATTTTATTATTAGTAATAATATAATCGTCCATATCATGTACGCGATTGATAAGTATCCAAAATGATGCACCAATAATATCACATATAATTGCTGTTATCGTTGACAAGTTTTTTTTATGTTTTTTCAGAAGAAAAATAATTAGAGCGAATATGATGTTGTCACACGAAAGATAAATTGTATACTTACCTAGCGTAAATCCAGAACAAAACTGCTATTGACGTAGCGATTAGCAAAAGATAATTTACAACCATGATAATATATCGTATCGGTGCTACTTGCTCAAACTTTTGACCAATACTAATTGGGAAAAGACCTGCGTATCTTTTATAAGCGATAATCAGCAGTTATATTGCAACAATTCCTAAGATAAATATCAAAATTGTCAAGCGATATTACAAATTATATTCCTTAAACACTTATCTCCTCCGAATTTGGCAAAGATTATCGCAACAAAGTTGCGAAAATGAATGTGGACGAGTGCGTAAAAGATATAATATACATATGGTCATCGAATCATTAGACCGATTTCGCACAATCTTATATGGTCGTAATGTCATTTTTATTTCTTATCAAGGTAAAATATATCAAGATAGCGACAAAGTGCAATCTGTTCATTTCTATACCTTTGTTTTCTGCGAAAAAATAAATCTATTATATGAAAAGATAAAAAGGAATTTCCAATATTTTGTATTTTCTCGTTTATATAAACGCAAATAAATTTCAGAAAATGCAATAAAATCATTCGAGGAAATAAAAAAGATGTAATACTACGCAACATGATGTATTGAAGTCTACGAAAAATTTTTCTTCCGTATCAAGACTAAGTTTTTACCGCGTATAATGCAATGTCAGCTGTTGAATTGTGACTAGACGCATTGAATTATGCAAATTTTTGTTTTGCATAATTTAACGCGGCTGATTCTCATAACTCACATAAAGAAATAAACTACTTTTCTACATGTTATCACTGGCATTCAAAAGCACAAAGCGGTCGAGTCTATTGAGAACTGTTTTTAATTGTTGTTCTATTTTAGTTGTATAGTAGATTATAATACATATATATGCTCTTGAAAATGTGGATACTGAAAATTGATATCTTATTTTGTACTTTTATTTATTAGATATTATTACATTTTTGTTTACATTTAAATATATATCAAGATGTTTTCTAGGATTCGTACCATTTCAATTTCTTCGGATTAATCTTTTTTATTTTATTCCTATAATTATCCACGAGATTATTGAAGTTTGCATCTTCTGTATCGATATTTTGTTGTTTCACCTGTATATAAAATCAGATTAAAAATCCATTTAACATGAAATTACAAAAATTGGCGGTAATGGGACAGGTGTGGGGTATTGGGAAGAGAAGGTTTGGCAAGGATTGGGAAAGAAGGTGATGGGTTATGGTGTAGAGATTTGGGGATGGAGAGAGAGGAAAGAGCTAGAGAAATTGGAAGAGAGGTATCTGAAGTGGGTTCTGAGAGTAGAGGGGAAAACATCAGGGTACTTAGTTAGAGAGGAGCTCCAAAGGGAGAAACTATGCGTAAGAGCAGGGAGAAGAGCATGGGAGTATGAGAGGAGGCTTGGAGAGGGAAGAGGAAGTGAAATAGCGAGGAGGTGCTGGGAGGAGATGAGGGAAAGAGCAAAAAAGGGAAGAGAATTATCAGAATGGGAAAAGGAAAGAATGGAGTGTTTCGAAAGGAAAAGGATAAAGATGGAGGAGGTGGAGAAGAGATTGAGAAGGGAGAAATATGGAGTGGAGTGTGGGAAAGAAGAGAAAGGATCAGGCAAGAGGAAGAGAGATGGGAAAAGATAAATGAATCGAGATACAACAGGTGGTACAAAATGGTAAAGGGAGGGGGGGTGCCGGAGTATTTGAAGAAGGGGTGGAAAGAGAAAAGATGGTCAAGGTTGGCGAGGTTCAGGCTAGGTAATGAGGTAGGAGAGACAAAATACTGGGAGAAGAAGGAAGAGAAGTTGTGTAGATTGTGTGGGGGGAGGAAGAAACGTGGGAACACATATGGGAGGAATGTAGGAGATGGAGGGACGGAAGTGAGAGCTGGCAGGAAGCGGTGGTGTGGGTGCTAGGACAGAAGAGAGAAGAGGAAATTTGGCTAAAGGAACTGGAAAGGGAAAGGAATGGGGAAGGAAAGAGAGGGAAGCGGGGTCACGGACGTACAGGAAGATAGAGGGAGAGACTGGAGTTGAAGAGGAAGGAAGAAGTGGGAAGGAGGGGGAGAAGGGAGGGAGTGGTTGGGAGCACAGGAGGGAGTAACGGGGGAGGAAAAGAGAGATGGAAAAAGAGGCGAGAGAAAGCGGAAGTCTGGAGGGGGGATGTGTGTGTGTGTTTGTGGAGAGAGTTGATGAGAGGGCGAGGATTCTCGGCCTCTCATTGGCTCGACGGGGTAGGTTGAGATTAGGTGTAAGTGCGTATTAGATGTAAGGTGTATTGTTAAGAGAGCGTGTAAAGGAATAGGGCGCTGTATAAAAGTTTTGGGAACGTTTCTTTAAAAAACGCCTTGGAAACCCGGTTTGCCGGGAATCAATAAATTATCTACTACAAAAATTGGTAAACACACATATGTGAAAGATACAAGATACAATATATATAAACAACAACAAATATTCTTTCTTACCGCTACATTGTCTTGTTTTTTCTTCACTTTCTCTTGTTTCATAATTTTTAATTGCTTAGTCGCTTTATATAATTTTTTCTGCTTTTTACTTGTCCGCTTGTGTAACTCAACTTGTGATTTAAGTTTGAAATTTGATCTTAAATTGTCGTGTCCTAATTTGCCAGTAATGCCGGCATACGGCTTTTCTTTCGAAGTTTTCGATTCTCCGAGTTTAGTACGTTTAGCGGAGATTTCCTCTTCGGTATCTTCTTCTGTCTTTCTTTTGTTTTTATTTCCAGACCATAAAGGATTATTCTCGCGACTCTTCTTTATTCTTCTTTCTTTTGCTCTTAAAATGGTGCGATTTTCTATTGAGAAGCCAACTATTGGTCTCTGTGTATCAAAATTATAAGGAAAAAGTAATACACGTTATACAATAAAGATAAATTGCAAAAATTCGATATGTTCTCACTTTGTTTTTAAAAAATATATTTGGATTGTTATTTATGCTTCTTAAAGCCTTAAGTGCATCTTCGTGACTTGTAAACGTGACAAATCCGTATTCTTTTGATTTTGGTTTCCCATTTGCATCCAAATTCTTAAGATCACGCATTACTCGTGCCTTGTTTCAGATGACATAATGTACATTTTTTGTTATACAAGTATGTGTAAAAGAACTGTATCAAATAGATACAGGGTATATCAAATAGATGTACTTACTTCCGTAATTCTAGCATTAGAATCACTGTGATTTTTGAATAACTGTCTAAGATCGTCATCGGTGAAACTAGGTAATAAGTTATGAACAACTAGTCGTACCTTCGACACGAACATATTTAAGTTACGTAACATCTGTGATTTCCACTTTTCTAATTTTAAACGTTTTTCCATGTCGGATACCGATACACCCATCGCTGCTGCACTTTTAGCCACAACGACTAGAAGTAAAAAAAAAAATTTTTAACTCAATGATATAACAGAAAATAAACATAATTGTCATTACCTCCTTCCTTGACAAGATACAAATTTCTGGAGTCTTTCATTCTCGTTTCTTTCAATTTTTTTTTGTTCTCAACGTCGTTCTTATGTAAAGCCCTGTGCGCCTCCATTCTTTGATCATGCAAACGCAATTCTTTGGCTGACAAACACTTTTCAGCATCTTCAACATGCTAAACAAAATACTTATTATTATATAGATCTGTATAAAATTGTTCTTGTGCAAAACCTTTAAATTATAAAAAAAAAGTATTTTAAAAATTTAGATTATATATTTTTCAGTTTGTGATAAAGTGACAATACTTACTCTGAATTTCACAAACGCGGTGCCTCTTGAATACTCGGTCAAAGGATCAATGCATACAAGAGCGTAATACACAGGTCCAAACTGCTCCATATATGTTTTGAGTTCTTCATTCTTAACAGAAAACGGTACTTGTTTCAGGAAAATCGTTCTTCCTTCGCTAACATCATTTGATATTCGTCGCAAGTGCTTTGCATCCAAATTTTCTTCTTTTTTAATTTCTTTTTTAACATCTTCGTCAATCGCAATCTTAACGTCATCTTTATCATCGTTATCGTCTTTGTTCTCATTATCAATGTTGATATCATTTTCACTTTCATTATCTTCTGCTTCTTGTTTAACTTGTATCGAATATTTATTTTTTATTATACTTTTTTGAGTTTGAAGATTTTCGCTGATTTTTTTTGAAATTAGAAAAGAGCACGATTTAAAATTTTTCATAACAAATTAAAAATGATAGGAAACGTAACTTTTGTACTCATTTCACACAGTGGAAAATTGTAAATACCTCGCTATTTCAATATCCGAGTTGCTATCTACTGTATCTTTATCGCTGTGAGATACATTTATTTCTGAAATATTGTGCGCTTCTGTCTCTTCTTTAATTTCTGGTTTGACATCGGACGCATTGCTCTGGAGAAATTTGTTTTTTGGAACAGCCCAGTCAACAATCATAGGTCTATCTAAAAGAGGCTGCATGTTTGAATAGTGTATAGCTTTTGCGGAGGCTTGCACATGATCGAACTGTAGAAATGCAACTCCAGTCTGTGAACCGTCAGATTTTCTCAAAAGTTTTATTTCTTCTATTTTTCCATATTGAGAGAAATACTCCTTCAAATTATCTTCTGTAATCTGTAAAAATATTATTATGCAAAAATATCAGTACACTTTGAAAAGAAACATATCTAATGCACATATTATATCTTATACAAGTTTTCATACACACCTTAAAAGATAAATTTCGTATTACAATTCTGGCTCGTTTCTTCTGACGTTTCTTCTTCAGAAACTTTTTCCTTTTTTGCATCTTCAAATTATTTTTTTCTTTAGTGATCTTTCTCTCTTGAATGTTATCATTTTCATTATCTACTTTTTGACCATCTTGAGAAGACAATTTTTCATCCTTAGTTCTCTCCTGACTATTTTTAAGTTCGTCAAATTTAGACTTTGATATAGCCCAATTGCTACTTATAATCCTTCCTACAAATAATATATAACAGAAGACAAAGTCATTTTTTAGATAATAAAAGCTTAATATAAAGAAAGTACCAAAAAACTCCTTTTTGTTAGTATTAAATATTGCTTTGGAAGCATCTTCTACATGATTGAACTCTATAAAACCACATCCAACTAGACTTCCATCTGGACGCCTTAGAAGATTTACTTCTTTAATTTCACCAAATGGTGCGTACAATTTTTTTACATCTTCTTCTGTTACCTAACAAAATATGATTTGGCACAATTCAGCATGATACAAGTAAAATACAGATCAAATGTAAGTAAAAACAGGAATCGCTAATACCTTGAAAGGTAAATTTCTCACAATTATGCGAGACTCTTTTTGTTTATTCTTTTTATCTATAGTATTTGTGTTTTCTGAATTTTCATCTCTTTTCAATTTAGCTTTCTGTTTATACAAAAAAGATATTTTTCTTTTGCTGTCTTTTCGTTCTGTAAAAAAAGTAGATATTGCATAAACTCTCTGAGAGCTATTAATTTTATAAAACCCATTTTATATAAGTCGTAATATGTAACATGCTTACCGTATGCTAGTTTTCCCATTTTTTTCAATTAGACTTAGACTTAAGAGAGACCTTTACACATATTTAGAAAAACACATTTTATATAAATATTCAAATATTTAATTGTATATAAGTTTTTGAAAATTTTATTCTTTTACTTTTAAAAATAACTTTCCTAGGTTAAAATCACCACGTGCAGTAAACGGCTCGGCAGACCGGATAATGCTAGTCCATACGTCATTTTATGGGTAAAGAGTAAAGGCCATCACATATAAAATTACTTAAGACCGTAAGACGTAGCCATAAGAAAACTGACTAATCAGAATGTATACTATGTCCCCACCATTTTTGGACGTAAATTTCCTATTGGTCAATTTCCTTACGTCTACGTCTTAAGTAATTTTATGTGCGATGGCCTTAAAGGCTCGGTGTCAAAGCGCCGATGTCTGCTTCAAGATCATAGACTTATATAATAGACGGAACATTTATGTAAGAGGAGCTGAAGCTTCGTTAAAAGAGACAGAAATAGTTGTGGAGTAGTTCTCTTCTTTTCTAGCAGTGAGTTGATTGGTGGCCGCGGCAGGCCGAGAGCAACGAAGATAGAGTTCGAGAGTCAGTTGAAAGAGAGTGATAGTGAAAGGTGATAGCATAGACTTGTGAGATGATTGGTCCCCCACTATCTTATTGTAAGAGAGAGAGACAACTACTCTCTAGCACTATCTCTGTCCTTTAATATTGTTCTCAACTTTGTCATATAAATGTTCCGTCTATTATATAAGTCTTTGTTGAAGATTCATCTCTATGTTCAGACGTGGTTCTCAGCATAGACATAGGTATAAGAAATAGACTCCGCATTCCCTATCTTCTCTGTGGAAAAGGAATAGTTTGACTCACTTTCCCTCACACGCGCAGTCTATTTCTTATATGTCTATGGTTCTCAGTCGCTTCTGATTGGACAGAGGAAAAAGTTGCCTAGTGACGTCACGAGTTTGTGACTCAGAGTGCGTTCCGATATGAACCGCCAGTATTAAAAATCTAAAACGACGTGAAGTGTAGATTTGTAGAACACAGCTTCTCTACTCTATCTGATTGGCTCTCTATTTGTAGTACAAAGCGGGTGCAAGAGTAAAATTTAAATAAGACAGTAGTTTTCAGACTACATGTGACACTGTACCTTCATTTTGTGTGCAAAACTCTGAGAAAAATAAATTTGCATCAATTGCTGTATCGTTTCACGATTTATTTTCCCAATACTTTATAATATAGAAATTATACATACATACATACTTCCACCATGCATACATACATACATACCTACCTACATATATATATATACACACATACACACACATGGTACACACGTACATACAGGGTGCACATTATGAAAGTAAAAACCGTAAAGAGACAAGTCACTTTTTGCGACGCATCTCAAATCAAATTGATGACTAATACTTTGGGAGACTATTTTGTACAGAGATATTTAATTATTTAGATAATAGACTGGTAATTGGTTACATGTACATGAATGTAAAGAAATAAATAAATTTTAGACAAAAAAAAAACACTTCTTTTTTTTCTCATCGCATTTAATGTAATTGTCTTAGTCAACAAGCGATGTTCGTTTTAAAAAGATTCCATGTAACCTTTGCTCTCCGTACACAAGAATTAAAACCCTGTATTATATCGCATGTAATTTTATATAACAATCGCTAGATTATAAACGTCATGTAATTCTTGCGTATAGTTTTATATTTCACAATAATTTATGTTACTAATTCGTTATATTATTATATAAGCAACACAGAGTTACACACAGTAATGCAGGTTTATATGTTCTCAAGAAACATGGAACATGTACGTATTATAAGGTCTTCAATTTTTCGGATTCTTCAGATATCTAAAAAGCATCCTGTATTTTCAGTTTAGGAAAACAAATTAATTAAAGTGTTAACAAACATCGTAACCGATGCGCTTTACTTATCTGAAAAACATGTTTATCATATATGTTTTTAATGTTTTAAACACGTTTCCTTGGCGTTCTTCTTTTTATATCAGTAAGAAAAAGCTTAATCGTCTCTTGAACACTTACTCCGATTAGTTGTTTTGTCTAGTCGATAATTTAAGCGTATTTAGAAGGCTATAATCTGGTTTCTTACACATTGAAAAAAAACCGAGTGTACACAATGCGCCTAATTACACACACAATAAGATTTTCAGCAAAATATATTATTGTGAATAGTTTGTATTAGCACAGAACTGAAATATTACTTAATTCAATAAACATTCTGAGACAACTTGTACGTTTTATTTATTACAAAAGAAAATTAAACTGAATAACAGACAATACAAATATAATCTTAACGAATTTATATGATTGAATACGCTACAAAATTGCTCAATCTTGACTAGTAGTTTTTATCTGTGTGTTTTAACAATTGAACAAATTACATAGATTCATTGAATTAAGTCATCGGTAGAATATTTTCTTTTGTTTCAAAATTGTCAAAAATTATTAACGCGATGACGAGATTTAAAATATTGATTGTCTATTACTTTTCGTGTCGAAAACCTAACATCAGAATAATTATAACATCAAAATTTGTTCGCAACAAATCTTGGAATGCTTTTATACTTCAAACATATACTATTATATTTTGACACGTAATCGTTATATCAAAGTTATTGCTACTTATTAAAATAAGAAAAAACACTTTCTGAAATTTAATTTGCAATATTTCAGCATTTCACACTTGCTTTTTTCGTTTGCACAAATCATAAACAGAATATATTTGAAATAAATCATCATCAAAAGTGTTGGTTTTAAATTACAAAAACTATCTGGTTTTCGAAGTTTGCAGTTCATTTCAAGTAACATCCATTGTCTCTTTGTGATGTAAAACTATTTCGGTTGAGTGTCCTGTTGTTGTTGTGTCTGCTGCTGTACTTGCGAATGCGCTATAGTTTGCAGTCTCACCTGACCAAGATTGGACGGGGAAGTCAGATTCGAAGCAGACGCGGAAGTGGCGTTTATGCTGGGACTAGCGTTTCCACCAACGGTCGACCCGGTGGTAGCGGAACTTGAGCTCGGACCTGGACTGGAACCCGGACCAGGACTTCGCCTTATTGCGGTAGGAATCGGCTTTCCCTGAATAGGTGTGGCCTGTCGTAATTGAGCTGCATTGCTGGCAGTAACTACCTGAATGGTCTGCTTTAAGTTGGACGCAACTGGTATCACTCGAGTTTGCAGCGGTGATTTAGCTAGTACCACTTGACCTGTCTGAGATACAGCTTGGCCTGTGGATACCTGTGATTGCAAAGCAACGATGTTTTCGTAACTTGTTTATTACATTTATCATGTAAATGATGGCCATCATAAAAGTTTACTTAAAAATTTAATTCTAGTGTCAACACACATAACTTGGATACAAAAGTAAAAAATTAAAAAAATTAAAAAAAGAAAAGCAACGTATGAAAAAATATTTACTCTGTTCTATAAACGAAATGTTTACTATATAAAACAAAGTTAATAATATTTAATTTTACATACATGGCTGAATTGCTGCATTGCTGTAGGTTGTACATGTTTCATCACATGCTGGAACTGTTGCACCGTCATAGTCGCGGGTATTGATTTCTGTTGTACAATCAATTGTGCCGGCACACCGGTTTTACCTGCGACTTGAGCTATCTGTGCGACTTTTTGCGTCGTTGGTAGTTTTCTCTGAGCGAGCAGTTGAGGATGAGTAAGTGCGAGTTGGCGAATCTGTTGAGGAGTTGCAGCACGAACGCCCGCTACATTAGCCGTCTTCACGAGAGCTGCTACAGGTGTACCACTTGTAGAAGTTCCCGCTTGTTGCACTTGCAAACTTGCAGCCTGAGCGAAGAGTTGTGCCGGTGTGAGTCCCGTTTGACCAGGCACCTGTAAATCATATGTTAATCGATTACTTTTTCAGTCGGAGCAAACTTGCAAAACTGTTTGGTTATATCTATGTTTCAATCACCTGCACTTGCGCGAGTGTTGCCGTAGTCGCCTTGGCCTGTTGCTGCAGCGTTTGTCGTTTTATTAATGCGGCCATCTCTGTGTCAGATACTGCTCTCGTCACCGTTTGCCGTCCCATGGCAGTTTGCGCCGTCACGGTGCCCGCGGTGCCTGCCGTAGCAATACCTTGCTTCATCAAAGTGGCCGCTGTTGCTCGTTGTTGTGCCGCCGCTGCTGCAGCTGTGGCCGGTACTGTGACGGATACTTTTTGACCGCCAGCTTGCGCCTGCAGCACTTTTAGCTGTTGCTGTTGTTGCCGCAACACTTGCTGCTGTCTGTAATACTGTAGCTGCGCCGCTGTCGGGGTTTTACCGCCCGACGTCGCCACTACACCCACGAGACCTCCCTTTTGACTGGTTGGACCAGCGGATATTTGACTCGCGGACACCAAACTGGCTGTTGCAATTCGTTGAGCAGTTTGTTGCAGATTTACCATGTTTGCCGACGTTGTCCTCGGATCTTGTATGGTTACCTGTCCGCCTCCTGGCCGGGCCTTTACCATCGTTGTAACCACTGTAGTGGTCGCCACGCTGCTCAGATTCACGTTAGTGGCAGTAGCTTTCGAGCTGGTCATGATACCGGCGGTGGTCATGGTTGGAATCGTTTGTGCTAGTTGATGAATTTGGGGTCCGCCAGTATTTGCGACAATTTGTTGTCCGGTCTGCTGCTGACTTTGTTGCTGCTGCAGCTTCAATTGTTGTTGTTGCAAGAGCCTCACCGCAACCTGTTGCTGTTGTTCCGGAGTTAAAGCCTGTGACTCACAGTCACAGGTTTTAATTCCGGTGATTTTCTTTAATCTTTTTAATAAATCAACGACTAAAAATGACCGAATCATTTTTATAGTTTAATTACATTAGTAATTAAATCCACAGGGTTTGAAAATTAAATAGACTTCACACAAATGCTTTTCCATTCCATTGTTTGTGTATAATATATTAATTGTAAAAGATGTATTAATTTTGAAAGATAAATTATTTTTTGACTCTAATACTAACCTGCTGTTTCAACCTTTCCTTCGCGATTCTGTCAGCACGCTGTGTGGCCACCTCCATTGGTGACATCGGATTTTCAACTTGAATGCCCTTTTCTATTACCATGGCTGTGCTGGTGGGATTTCTTATTAATGAATTCACGAGCAAAGGTTTCACAACAGTTGGCGTTCGTTTATTCGAAACAGATTTGACAACCTCATATCTCTGACAGGCCATTGACGAGAACGAAACATTCTTGTCTTGATTGTGTAACTGAGAAGTTCTCATAAGTTTGTTGCTTTTGTTTTGCTGCTGAAAGCAAAATATTAAATCATAAACATTCATATGTTCATATTTTCCTTAACATTGACAAATAATAAAGTAGCATTTGAATAGTTATCAAACTGATAAAATAAATCTTTACTTCGGATTGTGTTTTATAAACGGTCTTTTGTTTCTTCTGTTTCTTCGGTACGGCATCGTACAACAGCTTGCCTTCCTCTCGGGGTACTATGATAGATTCGTATCGGTTTTTGCACTGCTTATACGATCGATGCAGTCTCGAGCAATTATTGATGCTATCAGCCACTAGATCCCAATTGGGTGTGTGACCAGGCGAGAGAAGTGCAATGTTCATCGGAATATTTTGATAGGTCTGGAGAGCATGCAATAGACCCCACTCCTCATGCATTAACCAGTCCATAACGTGATCTGGTTCCGGCGAAGTCTTCATCACGTGCGACGACAACTTTATCGTTGGTATTATAGGACGTGATGTCGGGCGATACTTGCGCTCGTGCGCTCTCATATCGCGACGCATCTTCATTATCGTCGCTGTCGGTCTCTCGAAGAGAGACTTTGGTATATATAGATCTTCTTTGTGGCGCATCATTTTGGCCGGTCGACAACCTACAGAAACAATGAGTTTATCAATAATATTAAATTCTCTAAAAAATATTTACTGTTACTGTTTATAAATATATAAACTACTTTGTAATAAGGACATAGACGAGATCTAAAACAATTGACTGAAAATGACCAAATTTATGTACACTTAAAAAAAATTCCGACAGGTATAAATAGTTGTGAGAACTGATGCTTTTGATACAGTAAGATCGTTTAGACTATGATTCTCAATATTTATAATCAAGATTAACTCACCGTCATCATTGATACCAGTTTCAATTCTACTTCTGTTCCGTTCTTTCTTCACGTAAATCGGCGGAAGTTGAGCCTCTGTCATGGTAACATTTTCATAAAGAAATCCAAGAGAATAATCGATGTATACGTCATTATCAGTTGTAGGAGGTGTAGGTGGGCACCATACCTAAGAAAAAATGTTTCTTAAGATACTAATAATTGCTAATAATTTTTGTGTGTAAATAAAAAGACTGACTCTTACATTTATAATTTTACACTAACCATCATAAATTAAAATGCGATAAGTGACAAATTACAATGTAATAAATACACAAGGTGATTACATTTTAATATTGTAATTATAATATATTGTTGTAATTATATAATAATATAATATATAATATACTTTATCATTATTATTATTATTATTATTATTATATATTATAAGTATGATATTAATATGTAATTACCTTTTTTTCAAATTACACTGTATAATTTGTATGTATTATAATTTAATATATTAATTAATATCACAAATATATATTAATATTATACATGTGTCATATAAATATATCATATTTATATTATATAAATGTGTATGAAAAAGAAAAGAATAAAATATATTTTGTATTTACCGGCATTTGTTCCGTGGTGTTTTCTGATAACCAAATCTGCAAGATGTTACAAAATTAAATGCGATATTACGATATATATATAAAAAGTATATATTGAATACATCACTCTCGTATTAAAACGCTTTTGAACAAATTAGTAAAACTAAAAGGAAAAGAGAGAAAGAAGAGCGAAAAATTAATCTCTTTTTTTCTGTACGTCTTAATTTTCAGATTTTTCATATTAATTTTTCAAAATGAGATTTCAAATTGTTTTCAGTCTAAGTATCAAAATATATAATAAGATAATCGAAGTTCAAGTTAGTATCTCTCTGATGATTGCCATTTATCGATTGTTTTCTAGTGTTAACATTTTTGTCTATAGTTACTTTTTTACTTGACTTTATAAAATAATTTTTAGTTTGAGAATTTTTTATGACATTATTTTATAAGTGTGGCATTTGTAACAAAATTGATAAATCTCTAAAGTACCAATCTTCATTGGGTGTTTTAACTCTCTTAATTTCGAATTACACATACTATATTTAGAGTAACTTTGATTATTTCTATAAAAAAATTTGTTTTACTTGTCTGCAAATATCTAATCGAATTTTTTTACTTTAATTACGTGAGATACGTAATGCTCTAAATTGGAACAATTTCACTAAATAACTTACGCTCTAAATTTTTGTCTCAAAGACAAAAACTCAAATTAAAAAAAAATTGTTATGAAAATTAGAAGTAAAAAGTTCGTTAAATATTCTGTAGACGTTCGAAGGTTCTAGTTCCTTTCTCTCTCTCTCTCTTTCTTTTCAAGTGTTCTAAAGAAACAATTCTTATTTATGTCTTTGTATCTGATACTGCGTCCAGAGTCTCTTTTTCCATATCTTTACATATAAATGTGCTAATATGTACATATGTACAGGATGAACCAACTAAATTAAGTATGACTAAAGAAACTGATAGACGCAATATCTCAGTCATGTGCCTGCTTATATTCTTGCTGCGGACTCCAAGTTTGGAATGGCAAAGGCAGTGTTTTGGTGCCATCTTATTTATAAGAACAAATTTTTTGGAGCTCGTTTTTTTTTTTTTTTTTTTCTTTTTTAACGTGTTTATTAATGAAGTACATTTTTCTCGAGAAATGTGCGGTCATAATAGCCTTGCCACACCAAACCGATACCGAGAGAAAAAAATCACGATTAAATATAAACAAGCACACTGAGCTGAGAATAATTTGACACCAAAACGGAACTGAACCTTTGATCGACACAGACTTGGAAACGCATCAAGAAATAAGAGTACACATTTCGATGTAGCAAGGAATATTTCGTTTATTCTTTTTTCTTCGAACTCGCGCTCGATCATACAAAATACAGGCACGCAACTTAAGTATTATAATATATATATGTATATATGTGTGTGTGTTTTTTTTGTATGGAGGAAGTAAAGTGGAAAGATATATCCTTACACGTACTGTATATATAAATATACATATTAACAGTACAAATTTATATATTAGTAAATATATCTATTTGCACTGTTAACATATATACATATATATACTAATCAGGTCATTGCGAGTTATGTAATTCAATGCGACACAACTGAAACTCTTTCTCAACTTGGTTGCTGACTTTTCTCTCTTTTATGAGTACTGGATCAAACTCGCGTCTAATCTTTATTACTCTATTTTTTTTTTTTTTTTTTTTTTTGTCAGTTAACTTTTGCCGAATTTCTTCCAAATTCACATCGATCACAGATGCAATTTAAATTATAACATTAATGTAATGTTACTTTTAGTTTAAATAAAGTAATGAAAATAATTAGGGTAGATTCAAATTAAACGTTTTTTTAATCCCTGTACTCCCTTTGTATCTTTTTTAACACTTCTCGTTCGCGACACGTATTCATGTGTAACGATGTTTCATAGTGTGTGCTTCTATTTGTATGTGTGTGAATAGTTTAGTGTGACGCACTAAGGAATAACTCGACTAAAGTTTTACAACTAGAGCTTGTCCTTTCCTAAATGTAATATACATTCATTCGTTTTACACTCATCACATAGTTTATATAAATCGCAAGTTATCAGAAACGCATTCCCCAAAGATCCGTCCTCTTGCTGTTTGCACCTTCCTGTATCATTTTCAATTTAATGATAATATATTTGAAAGAAATAAAAAGGTGAGTACAACAAACAAGCGGAAAGCGCAGGCAGTATTAGGAACGGATCTTAATATCTCAACTCCATTGGTGTATTCTAACTAAAATGAAACAAATGACATGAGGGGCACCGGGCCAGAGTACAATTTACAACGCTAAATATTACACGCGTACCCGGTATAGTTAATTAACGAAAAACGCAGTTTATAATTATGTACAGAAAAACGTACTCATTCTCCGCAGTAGCGTTAAACGTGTCTATTTAATTCCTTCGTTTGTCTTGTACAGATTATGCATTTTTTGCTTCTTTAGAGACCTTTCTCTTGTCCAATTGTTCTCGTAAGTATAATTTTATATATATATATGTAACTGTCTATCTCTACCGTATTTTAGTATTTAGAATTTAGTAAACTCTCGTGCTATTTTTAAGCCTGCAATACATGATGCTTTTTCCCATGTTAAATCGCGGTGGACGCTACAATATGGCAATTCTTCGATTTCGCAACCGCGATTGTCGATTCTGGTGCTTGCCTCGTCAATCTAGTACAAAAAAAACAAAAAAAAAAACAAACAAAAAAGGCATCATGTGTCGCAGAGACTCTAGACTTTTCTCTCTTTGTCAAAGATTGCATATAAGTGTTATTTCGAGATAAGAATTCAACAGTCACGTTGAGAGCTATATGTGGAGTAAGTACGAGCAAAAGACGCACATCAAGCGTCCTAAAAGTCAAGTTCAAACTCGACATTTTTGTCTTTTTCATACAGTTTTTCTTTCATATACCTCTTATTCATTAACATTTATCGTTTTAGATAATTATTTGTTTGTTCGCATTTTGTTTACTTTTTCGTTTTTTCTAGAAATAAATTAACAAATAAGTTAATAGAAAACTTTAACGATAAAAAATCTGGCCAATTTAAATTTTACATTTAAATCTCTCAAAACATAGATGTTTCAATTTCATCAGATTAATAAAATAAAGGAATCTGTTTCATCAGCCATGATTATAAAGAATTTGATTTCATTTTTCTAGTTTATACGTTTTTTTAGATTTTGTAGCATGTTCTAAGAGCAAGTTCTGTGATTTGCTTGAAAGATCGAGATTTCTTCGAAATTGAACAAATTTTGTTTACTTTAAAAATCTTCTGTTTTAAATTTATAAGTAACTGTTTACTTATATCTCATTTCTTTCTCTCGTTATTCTTAACTCCATCCAAACTTGAGTGGAAATATTCATTTGCACTGTCACGTTTATGTTGCAGAAAATACGTTACAACATTTATGTTAATGAGAGAAGCATAGAAATCAAAGTATCATGTGACAAATGCCGAGTATAAACTACACGTATAGTAGGCTGATTACACATGACCGAGTATAGTCGGAATATTAATAACGTTCTCAACGGAACACACGTCTCTCTTCCTCGTTCTAGATGGCAACCGATAGAACACTTCAGTGAGACTCAAGATATCGTGGCGCTCTTCAACTTTTCAGAACGCGTCATAACGGAGGGAGAGGGCGAAGGAGAAAGTTGCGAAGAACGACAGGATCTCTTCTGTTGCGGTTCTTCGTCGGTATCATCATTCGAACAATCCTCGGTACACGCAACGTGTCTCGAGCGCTTCGCTTCTCTGCGTAATCTTTTGGATTTAGAATCGGCCACCACTAAATCGCAGCTCTCGCGTTCGGCTTCCTGCTCCGTGTTCAGCGAATCTGAGAATCGAGATACAAGTGCTTCTTTGTCTTGCACCTTGGTCTCATTACTAGCAGACTTGGATTGAATTGACGCTACAGTCTTATTGCTAGTGTGGTTATTTCTTGTGTCCAGAGTGAGAATAGCCACAACCTTGGCCGTCCTTTGAGGCTTTTCAAAGGACGATGTAATGTCCGTATTTTCGTTTTCGTTGCTTGTTAACGAAGTTCGTTTGACACTTGTTCTGAGAGCGGAAACAGATGACGACGACGACGATGGTGATTTTATCGAGGAAATGGAATTTAAAATCAATCCCGATCGCGTTATTCTAGACACGTGTTCATTGTTGTTAACGTTCAGTGGAACGTTTTGCCGAGGTGCGTCCGAACAACGTTTGGCAGAGGCTACGATTGGCGTTTCCTTGGAATTAGGATCGGATTTCATCGGCGGTATAGATCTGCTACGTCTGAATTGATGCGGGCTTAAAACACCGTTGTCCTGACACTGCTTCGAGTTTCGTATCGCGCCTTTTTCGCCTCGATTAGGCAAAGCTCCATCAATTCTCGTTGGAGAGTTTGCGGTCGCCGTCGACCTTGTGATCGGTCGTGGAAGCGGAGTGTCCGGTCGTCTTTTCGGCATCGATTTTGACAAAATCTGCGTCGTCGTTTCATCGTCAACCAAAGGCGAAGAAGGCGTCGACGAGTGACTACTTGTCGTTGATCGCGTAATCCTACTCTGCTCTATGACCAAATGCTGCGGATTATCGGCTCGTCGTATTCCCTGACTCGTTTTCACTTGTGAACTGCTGTCAGTTTCCAACACCGAATCAATTTTATCCGATAACATCGCGTTGCTCTCCTCGGAATGATTATTGATACTCGACGGAATCTTGGAACTGCGGGTTATCATGCTTCGCGTATTCACGACCTCTACTTTGCGCATTTTACACTTAGGTTCGTTCAAAATAGCTTCATTTTTTATTAAAAACGCCGAGGAATCACACGCGTCTGATGTCGATTCACTTGTTTTTCTTTCATTCGAAGGATCCAGATCCGAATTCTCGCGCATATCATTCTTTGAACTAGGCTTGAGATTAGCATTTTTCCGCGTCAAGAATGTCATCGAGTCGATGTCTTCGTTATTTTCGCGACCGTCTTTATCTTCGACTGCGTTACAATGAATGTCATCAGTGTTCACGATCGGATTTTTGGGATTTCTTTGTGCGGCAACAGAAACGCGCGGCATTGTGATTTGCTTGGAAAGTTTGTCAGTCGTGTCGGGGCTTCCGTTGCGCAATGTTTTCGATCGTAACACAGGAAACGAACGATTCGAGGATGACTCGACGTTTCGACGATTCGACGACTCAACGGAATTCTCCGACTCCTTCGACACCGCGGCAATTAACTTCGATCGCGTGTTACCGCACAAAGAATTGGCCGACATGCCGAATTCAGACTTGGACTTGGCTGTCGTTTCTTTCGAGCGTTTCAAAGACGTGTCCGACTGCGCTGTGCTTGAAGGAGATCGGGAATCTTTCGCGCTAACGTTCACATCGAGATTCTCCGCGTCTTCGTTGCGATTTATTTCGAGCTCAGACTTTCTGTAGATCGCGGATACTATTTTCGGCGGACACCGCGTCACTTGAACGGAGCAGATAGTGATTCTATTAGCATAATTAGTGATTTTGTCGTTTTTCTCTTCTTTAACATTTTTATCTATCTTCTCGTCTTTAACGCTTTTATCTTTCTTATCTAAATCTAATTCTAATGTTTTTGTTTGTCCCGCTTGCGTTTTCGCAATTGGTGTTGAATTCAAGTTATCGACAGATTGCTCAATGTTAGTATCATCGATGCACTGCTCCACGCCATTCGAATCGATTAAAACAGATATTGAATCCCGATCGTCTTTGGATGTATTACGATCAACTGTTTCAACAGTCTCAGTTTTTACACTTTGATTAGGACCAACCGATAACTTGTTAACGTTAATCCGAACGTTTCTTTTAGAACAGGAGTTAACCGACGTCGGCGAAGGAAGAGTTTCCTCGGACTTGGCGCGGTGGAATCTTCTACGCTTTATGCTAGGCAGTATGGGACTTACGTCCAGAGTCCACAAATTAATATGAACATTACCGCGAGATCTGGTACGGGGACTATTTAAATCAAAGTGATTCCGGTTAAAAGAACCGGATCCCACCAAACGGCTCCTTCGCCTCGAGAAACCTCCTCCTCGCTCAGAATTGTCGCGATTATTCGCTCTCCCGTCCTCGTTTTCCTCACTAGCTTCTTTCTCTTCATCCTCCTCGTTATTTTCTTCGCCACCCCCATCTCCCTCTTCCTCCTCGCCCTCATCCCCCTGACTCTGACTCTCCGTATGACTCGATTCTTCGTCAAGACTATCTTCGATTACGTCCTCTTCCTGCGACTCGGACTCCGAGTCCGACTCGGTACTAGTACTCTCTGTTTCGCTTTCTGCTAATAATTCGCGCGCGCCTCTACTTCTACCGCGACGTCTACGTAAACCTCTCCTATTCGATATTGCTAGTTTCTTATTGATTAATCGCTTAGAACCGCTTTTTGCGGTAGCGCTATTAACCTGATTTTGCGCATCCTCGCGGCCAAATGTCAGCGGCTTCTCGTCATCATCGGCCAGTCGCATGCGTCGCTCTTCTTCCTCGCGCAGAGCCCGCAGTCGGTCCAGCTCCCATTCCTTCTTCTGTTGTTCAAGCTCTCGTTCCGCTGCGGCCAACTGGGCCGCAGAAAACGCGTCCTCAGATTCCTCGACGAATTTCATAGCGTATCGCTCGATGGGAGTTAACTGAACAAAATATTTAAAGAATTTATTTTCTTTTTAAAAATTGTCTTAATGATATAATAAACAGTAGTGGAAGATTTAACGGCGGCAAGAATAAGATACAAATATGAAATGACTGAACTGATTCAGCAAATTTGTTCTACCTGAGCAACTAGATTCTGAACTTCCTGCTCCGCTTTGCTGACCTGCGTGTCCTCTTTGTCAGCCTCTTCCAGAGGAATGTTTTCGTCGAATTCGGCGAGATCAGCAACAGCTTCTGCTTTCGCGGTTTTTGCAGCTTGTACATCGAGATCCTCTTCAACGGCAGCTAGAGCACTCTCAAGTGCGCCCATCGCCACCTTCTCTTCAACATGCTGACTCGATAGGCCGCTCTGGAACGGTCCCGCTGTGTCTTTGCTCCAAGATTTCTCTCGGTCTCGATTCTGCTCCAGCACTTCGGCCATTCGCGTTGAAGCATCGTTTTCCGTTTGATCGATGTTAAACAGATCTTGAATGGTGGACTGCAAATAAATAAAATAATTTTTCAAGTATGACAAAATTGCAAAACGTGTGATCTACTTAACAACCAATATAGAGATAATATGTAACTATTTGATGATCTAAAGTCCTTATTTAAATACTTACACTTTTGAAGTATGCCGTCGTGAAATTACCACCTTCAATAGCGAGATCACCCAACAATCGCTTTTGATTCGCTTTCTTTAGAATATTCTCCTCTACGGTCTTCTCACTAACTAATCTGAAATATAAAACGATATATATCGCACTTTTGTTTTGTGTTGTTAACATGTTAATCAAAGAGCCGAGACCATTTTTGTATAAATTATTTCAAATATCTTTAATAACACATTACCATTTAATGTAAATATAAAATAATTTCAAAATTTTGTACACTAGTGTCGTTTTTTTTATTAAATTCATTACGTTATATAAATCGCGTACCTATAAATATGTACATCCCGCGTTTGTCCTATTCTATGACACCTGTCTTGCGCCTGCGCATCCATTGTAGGATTCCAATCGCTGTCATAAAATATTACCGTGTCCGCGCCTGTCAGATTTACGCCAACACCGCCCGATCTCGTTGACAGAATGAAGCAGAATATTCGCTTATCGCCATTGAACCTTTCCATCAAAACCTGAATGGTTGAATTGTCATTTTTAGGAGTAGTTCATTCAATTTCTTAAGTATTTTGTTACTTATCGCATAGTAAGTTATACTATTTTTCCTTATAAAAGCATTAAAAATGTACACAATATTATTTGGTACCTGACGTTGATCTACTCTTGTAGTACCGTCCAGCCGCAGATATATGTACCCGTGGAAGTTAAGGAAGGCCTCCAGCACATCCAGCATTCTGGTCATCTGCGTGAATATGAGAACTCGGTGATTCTCGGACTTCAGCTTTCTTAGCAGACGGTCTAGCGATTGCAGCTTGCCGCAGTCGTACTGGATCAGTCTGGGATCGGGAAACTGCGTGAGCATACGACTCAAGATCGGATGGAACAGATCTTGCTTCGGCGACAGTTGCTTCTGCAGCTCTATCCGCAGACGACGTTCAGCCCATAACTTGTGCGGTGGCGGATGGGACACGTGAAGACGAGGCATTGGCGCGCGCACGGCCGGTACGTGGACCACAAATCTACACATTGTGCAATAAAATTGTATTTCATAGAAATGCATTCTTTAGAAATGAGTCATTTTATAAATTTATGCAAACAAAAAAAAACAAAGTAACTAGATAAAAAAATATCAATAGTGTTTTACAAATAATGTCGCATACTGACCTTTCAAACACTTCTTTAAGCTCTTCGACAATTTGTTCCGTGCTTTTGATTGCTTCCGCGAGCGCCTCAGTACGTGAGAAGAACATCTTTCGAGTGTGAGCATTTTCTTTAGCTGTCGCGCAATGCAACCAGCCATTGTGCCAACGACAAGCTGTCGTAGGTTTACCGATTCTTAAAGCCATGAACAGATCCTCGCCGTAAAGCGGACATGCAGCGCATCTGCGTTCATTGATGTTTGCCACAAAATGTAATTTAGTTTGTCTTCTTTGTCGCCTCTCTTCCTCCAGCTGTGGCTGCAAAGTAATTAACATCGTCAAGAATTTATGATCGAAATATTTCAAGAAAGTAACTAAATCGCTCAGATAGAAAACATATCGAATAAAATTCTTAAAATTCTTAAAATAAGTAAATAGAAAAAAAAATATATAACTAGCTCTTATGCAAAGCAAAGGAACAAAAATTTATCGAATTCTTCAACATTCATCATCTGAGAATTAAATTTTTAGTATCTATATTTTTAATCACCAAGTAAAACTCGGACTTCGGCTGTCCCTTGGTCTGCGTTTTGGTGGCTTCTTTCTGAGTTTGTCTAGTGACAATACCACGTATCGATTGCGGCTGATTGGACTGCTGACTGTTATTCCCGCTTGATAGAGGGTGTGAGGCAGCTACATTTAAAGGAGGTACTCTCATGACGGGTCGGCCACTCGAAGTCGTCATCACGCCGCTAACTACTTTATTCACTGTCGTGGCCGAAGTGGACAGACCCACCAATGATTTTGACAACACTGTGAGACGCGGTCCGCTCGGCGTCATAACCGGAAATGAAACTAATAGTACAAAAAAAAAAAAAAATGTGTTACTTTCTTCGTTATCTAAATATTACTATTCGTTTGTTGAGTAACATCGATTCATAATAAAACGAGAATTAAAACTACAGCAAAGACAAACCCGTATTAGTGTTTTGTTGATTCGATGTCAGGATGATATGTCTACCAGTAGAAGTTTGAACCAACTGCGCAAAACTAGGCATTGCTATTCTCTGGACGGAATCGCCTTGCTTGACCGTAACTGTCTGCGTCGCCAATCGTTGAATACCGTCTCTGATACTGGCATTTCCCACTGTGATTCTCTGCGCATTCGTCGCCGCTGTGGTTGGCGTCACAGTGGTACTTTGCGAATTATGTCCCAACGTTGCCACGGGAATAGCTGTTATGTGAAAATTCATGGTGTTTATCATACGTATAATAGAATAGTTGATTTTTACGCAAAGAATTGATTATGCCCTTGGTTCTTGAATGTTTATAAATAATAAGATTATAAGCATGCTGGCTAAGGGATCATTGTTCTAGCATCACTGCAAAAGGGACTGCCTAGCGAGAAAACTCACAGCGACAATCACTGATCTATGATGCAAATTCACTTTGTAACAGAGTAATATATTGATATATATATGTTTATATGTACAATATGTTCGATTTGTATATACAAAGAATTTTTATATAAACAAAGAAATAGAGGAAAGAATTGTCGTACCTTTTACACTACCTTGATGTTGCACCAATTGCACAGAATATCCCTGTAATTGTTGACCACCCGCGACTCTCAATGTAACACCTAATAATACAAGTATCTATTGGATTTCACGTTAAATTTAAAAAATTTCACACATTCTTCTTATTATAGAATATATATATGTATTATACTTTAAGCATACGTGTCAATTGAATTGCTGAGAAAATAATAAAGACGAAAAAATCGCTTTATTCTTTTAAATTTTAATTGAAAGTGAGTGTATGAGTTAAAAATTTATAAGAGGCATTTACACAATGTATTAGATAGTAATAAAGTTCCATCGCGATCCGGGATAAGGTTTTTTCATTTCAATAAATTTCAAATGTGACAGCGTTAAATTTGCTACGACCAAGAAAAACATTTATCTATTCTTTACGTTACCATGTGTGTAATGGTCGCAAAATGATTTTGCCACTGATGAATCTGACGCAAAATGTCACGGGAAATAACACGATAAGAAGATATGACACCGCTCTAAACCTACCTTGTCCCGGACCTGTCTGGCTGGTATTTAATGATTTCAAGTGAGACGTACCCACTCTTGGCGTGGGTAATACGCCAGCTAGATTCTTTAATCTGGATTGTATTTGCTGCTGCTGCTGCTGTTGCTGCTGCGTCGATGACTGCCTCGCCTGATTCGACAGTCTGACGTTAATTTTGATACGACCAGACGGACATCTTGGTGGTGGTTCTGGCTGACTATCTATTTCTTCTATGAGCTTTCTGGGCGTTTGCAATCGTCTCATTCTATGCGCAACGAATGCACTGAGTGTCAGCTCCAGATCTAACAGCAAAAGATTCAGGCTAGACAGTTGGATGTGCTGCAAAGTTAAACCACAGTTTGGATAGATCCGATGACTGAAGGCTTAGCTTTTAATAATAAAGCTGGTGAAGGTAACAAGGTAATTTTGTTTTATTATTTTACCTTGAAAGGATCGTAATCCAACGCGCTACAGACTAACGAGGCGGTCACGAACTCGAGCGCCTCCATTTGAAACGGCGAGACAGTCGGTCGTACTTCGAACAAGTTCGGATGATTGCACACCTTTCGCAATTGCATCAACACGTTAATCACACTCAAGAGATTCCCACTGGCAAGCGTTTCCTTCGTCCTTTAATAAATGATTTGTTATCAAACATTTTGCACAAGTTTGATAAAAACAAATTTGCAAAATATTTTGCGTGCAACATAAAACAGAAAAATTATTTTGAAAAAGATTTTTAGATGGATTTTAAGAAAAACTAAGTGCTTTTTAATCCTTACACAAGCGTCAAAGAATTCACTTACTTAGCTCTGGACATAAAATCATCGTACAAAAATCTCTGACGCTTTGACAAGCGACACATAACTACGTGCTCGTATTTCTTTGGCAATTGCTTTTCTACCTCAGTTTTCAACCTTCTCAAAAGAAATGGTCGCAATACCTAACGAAAAATGACACATTAACATTAAATACATTGCATAAAAACGATCGCACATACAAAGTACATTTCTAAGTTCAATAAAATTATTTAACTTCTTTTTAGTTAGTATTACAAACAAAAAGAGAAAAAAGATATAAAAACTACGTACAGACCTTGTGCAGACGACGAATTATGTTCTCATTATATTCACTATTCCCTTCGATCATGCCTGTGACAGGATTGCTAAACCACTCCTTGAATTCACGATGAGACTGAAATACGTTAGGCATGAGAAAATGCATGAGCGACCACAATTCCATCAAATTGTTTTGAAGTGGTGTGCCAGTAAGAAGTAATCTCCTGAAAAATAATAATAAAAGCAATATTTAGTAGTTCTGATGAACATTTATTTTTGCAAGAGTGAAAGTGTGAATTTAATTTTTATAATCACTTTAGAAAATAAATATAAATCTGATTGTTTCTTTGATTTAATAATCAGACTAACAAAGACTTTTAATTAGTAAATATGAGCCGATACACTAGATGTTTGTGCAAAATAAATAAATAAATAAATAAATATATATATATATATATATATATATATAATGTACATGTATTTATAAACTTTAATTTGTGAATTCATATAAGATGCTTGATTTGCATGATGTATGTGAGAAATATCTATTTGTCCTCCCTATCTAATTTAAGAATTATATAATGCACAAAAAAAAAAAAAAAAAATTTACATCTTGGCCAGAAGTCGAACCTGGAACATTTCGCTTTCCGTGCGATCGCCTTCCCAATTCGACCACCAAGGCACTTGGTGTATCTCTCGCAATACTTAAATATAACAACCCAAGAATAACGCTATCTTCTACCGGCATCAATTCTGACCAATTAACGAATGAAATTAAATTAAAGTTCATGTAGTTTTCAACCTAACAAATATATTTACCGGCTAAAATTCTTCGTTAGTTTGAAAACTATATGAATTTTAATTTCATTCGTTAATTTGTTAATATAGTAAATTTATCAATTACCGTTGTGTCTGGAAGTTCAAAAGCAACTGCCATCTCTGTGACTTGAAGTTTTTAATATTCTGTGCTTCATCCAAAATAAGATATTTCCACTTCTTTCGTCTAAAACTTTGGTGATCTTGTATTACTAACTTATAGGACGTAATACATATGTGAAAGGCATTCGGCTTTGTCCATCCTGTGAAGAAAAAATTTTGTATTGTGTAAGTAGAAAACTAAACTGTCATAGCATGTAATAAATTCGAAATTTAGAAATATTGTTTCTCCATACAGGATTCGTATGTCATACAGTGATTAGTTTCTGACACGCGAGTTTTTCTGGAGAAATTTTTATTATCTCGCTAAAAAAAAGTACAGACATTGTCAAAAGACGACTTAACGCCTGTTGTCGGTAGCGAGTTAAATTACATAAATAAGAATACAGTATGCAACTTTATTTATAGAAAGAAAGAAATTCCTATATTTATGTGCTATACATTACATGTTAATTTTTAGCTATATGTTAATTTAATTAATCAAACAGTAGCAACAAATGTCTTTGACATTAATATAAGCCTACACGAGCAATCTCTATAATAAATACCTGTTCTCTTCTGTTTTCTTTCTTTCTGCGTGCCGTAGTATGTCAGTATCTTGAATCCGGGACACCATTTTTTACATTCCATTTCCCAATTGAGCATCACAGACGTTGGTACGATAATAAGATGAGGTCCCCAATTACCTTTTTCACAGGCTAGATGTGCTAGTAGCGCGATAGTTTGTATAGTTTTACCCAGACCCATCTCGTCCGCTAGAATACCGTTTAACTTTCTATCGTACATAGTGACGAGCCAATCTAATCCAATATGCTGATATTCACGAAGGCGGTGTTTTAAAAGAAAGGGTATTTTGGTGACAACCTAAAAAGTTTATAAAATAATAGTAAACAAATAGATCATACATAGCTGTAGTTCTACATAAAACTGACATTAAGTTAATATATTAAAAATAGTTAAGCGTTTGTTCTCTGAACTTTTTGAACAATTTTGTAGTGATTATTTTTCAGAACAAAACAAACTTTATTCATAAGAAAATCATCACCATATTAATTTTCCTTTCGTAAATTTTGATGAGCAAGATTAGTGCTTCATCAACTTGGATTGGAAAGGAGTCAAATATCACAAATAAAATCGAACAAATAAACATCAATTCATAACTTACACTAGTTGTGAGCAGTGTATTTCCCTTAGGCTGAATGCTCTCAGCTAACGCAGCGACGTTATCCATCTCATTGTGAGCGTCCGAATGATCAGTTTCTGTAACCTATATGATGAAAAGTAATTATTGTCATTAACATAAATCAAAGAGTTGAATTACATGTGTGGTAGCAATGACTCATTACATAAATATATAATAAATAAAAATCTACAAGCTTAGTGTAATGTAAGTATTTACGTTTTTTTATACTGAATAAAACTCACTCTATCTGATTGCTTTTCTGGATCTTCGAGAAGGGATTGAAGACCCACATCTGCTTCTGTTTCGCTTTGAGTCCGAGTTTCTTCTTCGTCACTCTCGTGATCGCTTTCTTCACTCTCGCTTTCGCTGTTTGTTGGCTGATCCTCAGTGTCTTGCATAGCTTCCTTGTCACTGCTCTCTTTATCCGTGCCTAAGTAAAAAGAGAAAGCACCTCGATATAAAATGGTTCTGTTATTATTAGTTACTCTTTTGTGATTTGTATAATTTGCAAAATTCTCTCAGACAAATGCCTCATTTAACATCACGAATGGTAATTGAGATAAATGAAAACCATTAATCTCGCACCTCAGAATTGGTAAATATCGTCATCGATAATTGATATAAAGAAAAAAAATTAATAACATCCGGCTAAGTCAAGTTTATACCATATAATATAATTGATATATAATTAGAATTTTTAAAAGTATATACTTTTATCAGGTATGGATTTACCTTCAGCCTCTATGTTCTTGTCCATCAAGATATCCGACATATTTGCATATTTGGCCGCGAGCTCGTCAATAGACATTTCGTTGTCAGCCTTTAAACAGAGAAGTATATCTTTCTCACTTTGTTCTGTAAAAAGATCATTCAAATATCGAAAATGAGAAGTTACCTTAAGCTCATCGAGTTCTCGCTTGTGATCGACGTCTCCCTCGAGTCTCTCTTCTTCCATAATAGTGTCTTCTTCATCCGAAGACTCGCCAGATTGAGCGACAAAATCCGCATCCCCATCAGCCGCTTCTTCATCTTCCTGCAATAGAAATCACAGTCTTATATAACTTTAAAATTATGATATATTCAATAGAAAAATTGATTTAATTGTTACTAAATTTCTCAAAGTTTTATATTATCTCCAAAAAAGATAGAGTACGCGCACAAATTTTTATTTCTATCTACAAAACATACATTTTCTTCTTCATTCGTAGTGTTTTGCGGCGACAAACTTCTATTCTGATCTTCCAAATAGTCTGACGGCAAATCTTTCAAGAGATCTTCCAAAGGTATTTCCGACTCTCTCTTCAACAATTCTACTTCCTCTTTGTGATTAGTCGTCATTTCCTCCTCGGCTTTAGCTATAGTTTCCTCATCATCGTCTGAACTCTGGTTTGGCTGGAACTCTTCTGTAATTTATACCATTTTTTTGTTTGTTTTTAATCGTGTTTACATAAAGTGTTGAACACAATCAGTTTTTTGTAACAAAACGTACCGTCGGAATGACACTTTCCTGGTGGAATTGGCGATGAAATACGAGAACTGTTCATTGAAGCTGGAATACTCTGCGGACCGTCAATTTTATTGAGACCTTCAGTTAGCCATGTGGAATATTTCTCTGTTTGACCAACAATGAAATTTAAATGTTGATCTAACGCTTTCTTTCGTTTTTCCTCTAATCTCGTTTGCTGTTTATATTCTACCAACTGTAAACAAATCAATCGATGTTATTATATTATGTACATATATTTTGCACACACGCACACACACACGCGCGCGCATACACATATATATTTTAAATGAAATGTGTGTTTACATATATAAGATTATACAATAATAACGCATGTCCTGCTATAATTCTTTGGTTGAGTTTACGTTGAAAACAAAACCATACACAATATGCAGACTTTGCTGTTCCCACAACGAGCACACGCTTCTGATAAAAATACATCGAGAAGGTCGGCTTAATTAGTGTGGGGTTGGAGTAGCATAACAATAAAATAAAGTCAGATTTATATAATTATCAATATCTTATAGTTTTTTTTGTGTATGATGTGTGTGACTCACCTTTTCAACGTTAGTCCAAAATGTTTTGATTTCTTTAGCGATAAAACTAGCGATCTTCTTCAATCGAAGCTCTTGTGATTTCTCGGCCTTTTGCGCCTGAATCGCTTTCTCTTGGAAATATTTTTGTACCATTCGCGCACACTTCTTCGCTGCGGCTTTTTTCCATTTACGCTCCTGAGCAAAGTCGGCGGCCAACCAGACCATCTCTTCCAAAAGATAGTCCCAGTGAGCTTTGGTTCGAGTTGGTTCCTGCACTTTAGGCAATCTCCGTTCGGACCACAATCCTTCACGTTGCAACTCAGCGATCCTCTGCATGACATATGCTTCCTGTAACCGAAAACACATTAACATTAAATATTTTACATCGCTTTTCACACAAAAAAATCTCATATAGTTGATTGTTAACATTTTAATAATTACCTGCTTAGCTTTTTCCACTATTTGTTCTTGATTATTTGTAATATCAGAAGAAGTGGAAGTTGTTATAGTAGGTGTTGCTAATTTCACGAGCTTAACAATAGGTTGCGGATTGTTAAGCGCAGCTGTTGCCATAGCTGCTTTTGTAGTTGTAATATTTGTTATCAGTGGCGACGATTTGTCCGTTACAGAACTCGCAGCTACAATTGTAGTCATAGTTTTCGGTGGGTTTGAAACCACAGATGTTCCATCTGAAACTACAACTATTTTTGCATCCAAAGTACCGATTTTCCTATTATGATAGTCTTACAATAATTGCTTTGAATGAATTGAACGTTACATATATGATAAATACAATTCAATAATGTAACATTTTCTTATAATTTGGACGCTTTTGCAAACAGATCAAATACTGTACGCATAATATAAATGTTTTCGATATTGTAGACAGGTTGTACTGTCAGAAAGTTGTACAGAAAGTTGTTTGTACGCATAAACTGAGCGAAAAGAAAAAGCATTCGCTTCAATTTTAGTTGTAATATAAGTACTACACAAATTCATACAAATTTCATTATGAAATTTAGATTGTTCTTAGAGATATCTGGCACATAATTTTTCTTTTTAACTTTTTTCTAGATTATGATATATATTATTATGACTATTTACAATGCTCTTTGATCTGCAACAAATGGCTCGTAATTATAATTTAAACAATTAAAAACTACATTGTACATGTTACGTAAAAAAAGGTAATAATACAAAAGTATAAAAATAGTATAAAATATTTTAATTTTCACTAATTTTAAATAATTGTTTAATCAGTTTTAGACTTGACTCTTAAAATATTTGACCAGTGCACTTTACTCTTAATAATTGGACATTTTGTATAAAGTTTAGAAAAATGTACCAATAAGAAAATTTTGCATTGTCTAATATTTAGTCATGAAGTGATTGTTGATTTAACTATCTATCATTAACTGAAGATTACTTTAAAACTTTAAAATAAAGTTAAAATATATCGATATTGATACATTTGAATTTAATATATTATTTCCTTCATTACATCCTGATTCAAATTTGTTTTTTGACCCAAATTCATACATTTATTTTGGAGTAATTGTTAAGGATCTAAAAAAAGACGTTTCTCATAATAATATCTTATTAATTTTTAAATATGTTATTTGCAGCTAATACACACGCTAATACGCGCGCGCGCGCACACACACGCGCACACACACAAAGCCTGTGGTCAAACTAATACTTCAAAGCATTTGAAGTAGTATTCTATCTTTATTCTTCATTGAACGTAAAACAAAAATAGAACAATTTGAATCATTCGTAGCGCTATAAAAGCGTTACTTTGACCGTAGCAATATATACATGTTTGAACATACACTGGCTGTCATTATATTGTGCAAAGCGAAGGGAATAAATTCTCGTCCTGCTATCTCTCTTCTATTCTATTTCTCTTCGCTAGTCTCTTCTAGCCGCGACTGGCTAGCTAGTTTTGTGTAAATAATACTTAGTATTTCACATACAAAAGATATATTTTGAATGTTTTAATTTTCCAACAAAATTTTATGGCTGTACTCTTGCACTACTTACATGACCTAAGAGTCAACAAATTTAGAACTAGTACAAACTTAGGACTGTTTTACTTTTAAAAAGAATAACACAAATTGACGTCTGAAAAAAAAAAAAACGATTTAGAGTTCAGGTTTTAGGACATGAAACAAGAAAAAACCTAAATAAAGTCGAAAGTTATCTCAAAGGTGTTATCTCAAATTGTTATTTCTATTATATATGAGAATAGATTTTTTAGTTTTCTAATGTTATGTAATAGTTAAATGTTTTGCTTGAATTCGATTGTCTGTTGAAATTTAAGATGTTTTACAATAAAAAAATTAATTAGGCAGATATATAAGTTTATACTATCACGTATTTATAAATACAGGAAACTTTAGTAAAGTGATAAACGTTGTTTAAAGAAGTAAACTTTATTGAAAGAAATTTTTATTTTTATTTCAGAAGCGTTTTATCACTTTAGTAAAGTTCGACAAATAGAATTGGAATTTCATATATATGTATTTATAAATTTATATAAATTTATTTATATAAAAATTTATATTTGTATAGATATTTATATACTTATATAAATAAATTTATTTGTATACTTTCTCGTTTCTATCGTCAATAACCAGGAGATCTGTTGTTTCGAGCATTCAAGAGATTCATAACTGATTGTATGTATGTTGAGAATAATTCACGTATCAACATTTCAATGTTGCTGTTAAAATAAGATTGAATAACAAGTTGACAAGTAGACATTTGATTAATGAACTGTTGTACAATTTTGCGTTGAAGATTTCGAAGCTGCAACTCGCGAAGTAACGGCTTAGAACGTTTGAAATAACGTTTCTTGTAGTTACCTTGCACTGGAGCTGAAGACGTAACAGGTAACGAGGTAGATATTGCTACAGACGCCATTTCCGTACCAGATACTGTATTAACTTCTGCACTTTGAATTGTGGATCCAGATGTGACAGTTGTGACATTGGCAGTAGCAGAATTAACAATTGCAGAAGTAGTAGTAACGATAGTATTTGCAGCTGCAGTAGTAACAGCAAGCAATCGTGACAACTCCGACGATGATGGGGCAGTCAGATCCTCGTTATCGTCTTCTGGATCTAGCCGATTTTGCCGTAGGAAGTTTCGAAATTGTTGCGTCTGCGGCCGATTGCGCCAAGCCGAGTACTCCACTATATTGCCCCCGTGACGCAAAAAGTAAAGCTCCGACACAGTTTCAACATATTTTTCACGGACACTATTCATTCGTCGCAGCTTATATTCCATGACCTGTTTGCGGGCGCTATTTGCATCAAATGTAGTTGACTTCTCTTGTGTTTCAGATAATTTTAGCCGTTTCCTGGGCTGTTGTGGCGATTGGCTTTGTGGCGATGATACCTGAGACGACGACAACGAAGACGAAAACGTCGACGAAGAAGCCGATGACGGCAACAATGATGATGACGATGATGACGATGATGATGACGATGACGACGACGACGACGACGACGACGATGATGATGATGACGACGATGACGACGACGACGACGACGACGACGACGACGATAATGATGATGACGACGACGAAGATATTGATGACGATGACATCGGTGTTACGTACACATTGCTTATTGCCGTGCGTACAAACTTTGGAGATGTTGCCAATACAACTTTTGACGAAGATTGTGGTCGCGATATGGATGATAAATGAGACGCGCTGGATGCGGTAACACCTCCGGTCACCACGCCTGCTGCATTACGCGATGGTGCGCCAATGTTGACAATTCTCGTAACTCCAATTTGTCCTCCACTTGCGTTAGTCGTTGCATTGTTTGATATAACCTATGACAGAAAACGAGTAATATTCAGAAACTGATATTTTAATCTTTTTTTAGTTTATAAATGTAATTGCACTGTTTAGCCTTTTATACCAAAAAAGTGCTACTGCTTATATTACATTCATATTGTTTTATGATTTTAGATTGTGCTTGAAAGTAGAAATATAAAAACAAATATATGAAGACTCACTTGCAAACCAGGAACTTGAGTTGTTATAACAAACTGTTGACTGCCACTAGCGGCGAGAACTTGCTGCAGACGAATAGTCTGATGAAGTGCATTTCCATTTTCATTGTTATTAGCTGTACCCCGATTAAGGGGTGATAAAATAGGTGTGCTCTGCTTATCAGTCATTGCACGTTATGCTATAAAAAAAATATATTAAAGAACACTTAAATTGCATAAACAGCAAATAGTAAAGTTATTTATCAAATATTTTACAAATTTAACTTTCTAGTGAACTCAGAATCATTTTTTATTCTTTACTTGTTATATTACTTGATATGTTGAAAAATACAAACCTTTGTGCAAAAGGTAAAATTATGCTATAGGATCATTTACATAATCCTGAGTTAGCAATCGCTTTAAAATTTGAAGTATTTTGTATTTCCTATCATGATAAAAAAATAACACTAAATAAAAATATATAAATTCTGATGTAGTTTTATAAAAACTATAATTAATAATTGTTCTGCATGACTTTTTAAAATTTATGCATATTAGATAATGAAATAAGAAGCAACATTTAAGGAAAAATTACATAAATAAGTATATATATTAAATGCTTCGATATACAACATATATATATATCTATATATATTAAATAAATGTATAAATATAAAAGATTTGTACATAAGAAAAGCTTTGCTGTATACAAAGGTCTATATAAAAATATACATATGTTTGTATTTGTTATTCTTATATTAGTTTGACATGTATGTTCATACAAATATAAATAAGTGTTACAAATCATTCTGAATATTTAGTAAAAAAATTACTTTATTTTAGTAAAAAAATTTTTCTAAATAATATAAAATATAATATTATCAAAAAGAAAACAACAAACATTCCAAAGGGGTAGATAGGTAAATGAAGCTTGTTTGTTGAAAGTATACATACTGTTTATATTAGCCAAGGGATAAAAGATAAGCGAGAAAATTTGCTGTTGATTCATAAAAAAAATAAAAACTAAAAAAATTAAAAAAATCTGCAAGTATTGCGCAGAAAAAAACGACAAGGTGTATATGCGTGAAATTCAGCGCCGTGCGCGATGACGGGATATCGGGGAATCGGTGAACGAGAAAACGTGTCATCGCGAGTGCCACAAGATACCGGGCCGACCGATCGAACGACCGCGACCTGTAATCCGAGACCCAATGATGAGCTGTCCGTGCGAACCGTCGAGATGTACCTCGAGGCGTTGCGTCAGGGTAGGCGCCGGGTGATGAAAAGATATTTACGCGAGGAGCTCGCGCGACAAAGATGTACAGGAGGAGAGGAGCTTACGGCTGCATCATTGGCGGAGAACGATCAGCGCGAGGAGATGATCTCGCCGACGACGCTTGTCGCGACGTCGTAGTTGGGGAAGCCGCGAGACGCGGCGCGGTGTGGCGTGGATACAAAGGAAATCTCCCGTCCGCCATGTTGGCGTTGGCTCTGAAACCTACCCGGACTCACCATAATGTAATCACAAATTTCCACGACGTGGGTGTGCCATCCACGCTAATGATCGTCACGTCCGTGATTCGCGTGAATCGATTCACAATTGGATACCTCACGTAACGCACGACACATGAACTATATCTAATATTTTACGATACATTGTCAGACAACGGACTCAAGGACGCGTAGTGCTTCTAAACATGGCGACGGTCGAAAGAGAAGTTTCAGCCGAGACGAAGGTGCCAAACCGAGGATCTCCGCGTTTGCCTCGGTCGCGTAGAGATGGCGCCGCACAAGTCTCCTATTGGTCGGTCGCGACTATTGCGCGCTACAACGTGGCATCGACCGGACTGTGTGATTGGTCCGTCAGCTCGTATGTTCGAATCCATCGTCCAAATTAAACCGATCGCGCTCGAACCCCGACCCGGTGCTCGATCAAATCAGCAACCACTTCCTCACGGATATCCTCCCCGCACAAAAATATAGTCTTATTCCGATTGCATACTTTTTCATCTTAATTAAAAAAATCAGACGTAAGATCTAACATTGAAAGATATAGGTATGTAAAACTTTTTAGCAACGAAAAATATCCGATAATAGCGCGATTTTATCTCAACTAAAAAGCACATTTCTCTCACAAAACATCAAGTTATTGAGAGAAAACACCTTGTTCGATTTTCTCAACAGCATGCAGAAAAAATAACTGAAAAAAAATCTCTGAAACAATTTCTTGATTTCAACTACATTTTACTTGTGTTTCATATTTTGCACTTGAAATATGAAGCATCGTATAATATGAAAAAATAAATAAATAAATAAATAAATAAAACAGAAAAAAATACAATACAGGTTACAAAAAGCAAATTTCCATCTACAATGAACCTGCAATATTCGCCACGTGGCGCACAAATTATTCTCCATTGTGTTTCTCCGCTACGTAGGAATTCAAACTGTATTCTCTTACGTTAATCAGTCTCTTCTCACCGATTTCTAGATCACTCCACAGTTTCCATTAATGGGTGTTGACGCTCCGAATTGCGAGTCTTCGCCGGCACCGTTGAGCACGAGGACCCGGTTCGATCGCTGATTGCGCGCGTCTCGCGAGAGAAGGACGCGCGCCGTCGTTGTCGTGTGGAATTTTTGCGCGCGGAAATCGCCATCGCGTGGACGATCGCCATTACAACCACACTCTAAGGTTCCAGATTCCCTGTATTTTCGCCCGAATAAGAAGGTAAGATGCGTACGGCGAATACTGATCGACTGTTCGTCGACCGAACCTACGGAATGTTGGCAGGCTCGCCGTGTGTTCGACAAAAAGAGATAGATAATTGAACACTGTTGGCGCACGTTAGTCTAATGTCAACTTCCTCCCAGCCACCGGAAATACCTGCAATTTGAATCACGTAGTGCGTTATTACGTAATTTTTTCAATGAAAAATTGACGAAATGTTTCATTTCACCATGATGATTAAACAGCATCGCGCAATTAAGCGGGAAAAAAATCTCTCTTCAATTTTTCGAACAAAAAATATTTAAGTTAAAACATGATTTTTGTTATAAATTGCAGTTTTTACAAGTGTTTTGTTTTTCAGATAACAACGCTGTCCGAACCGAAGGATGATTAAATTGAATTCAAATATTCATCCACTTTTTTCCGCGACATTGACGGAGAATTTGCGACGAAGAAATATAATTACAATAGTGGATTTTGTCAATGCAGATCCGATCAAATTGGCGACTTTTACTGGTCTTTCGCACACGGTTTGTATTCGTTAAAAGTGTATATTTTATATTTTTTGCAAAAGATAAATAAAATATATATATTCATTCTCACGTATGCATTAGATAGATAAAAATAAAAAAAGATTTACTTGACATCTGTAACTCATACACACACGCACACTATATGTTGTGCGTATTTATTTTTGCAGGATATACTGCAAGTAAAACAACACATAGTGAAAAACTTTGGATGTACAAAGAAAAATGCCGTTAATCTTCTTGCGATAGAACGCGGACATATTGTCCCAACTAGTGTGATCTGGTATGTTTTCGAGAACAATCAGTTTTTCAATTCTTAATCGAAACCAGACAAAAAGACAATATTTTATACTGAATATATCAAGTACTCACACAGACATAACGTCGGTCCATGTTTACAACTCCACGTAACATCTAATAAACATCTAATAGAAGTGTGTATAGAATATTGTTCCGTATGGATACTTTAGATATTCACTTAAGAAATAGAAGAGACATTGTTTTGTCTGGTGTTTTATGATTGATTTTTGGCAAAACAGCTTGGACGAATTGCTGAAAGGTGGTCTATATTCCGGGCAATTGTACGAGCTGTGCGGACCTTCTTCTTCGGGAAAAACGCAATTATGTTTGACAATAGCCGCTAACGCTACAGCTCGATTAAACACTGTTGCGTGGTATTTTGATACGAAAAAAGATTTTTCTAAACTGCGATACGAGGAAATTCTGAAAACAAGAAACCTCAGTCAGAAAGTATGACGTTCAATTATTAAAAAAAAATTACTTATTAGTAAGAAATAATTTGAGAAAATAGAATTTGATATTTTTATATAGTTGTGTGAAAACTTTTCATATGTATTGTTTGCACTTTTCGTAGCAAACTAATTCAATGCATTGTGCAGATAAAATTTTCAAAATATCGGAGTTTTGATTCCATTGTTGTATTCTGAATACATAAGTTGCATTTTCTTATTTTTCAGGTTGCAGAAGATGCACTGCAACGTATGAAAGTCTGTTATGTGTATTCGCCTGATGAATTGATACAAGCTCTACGACAATTAGTAACTCTGTGCAAAATGGAAAAGAATAACAAGTCTCTTAAAGAGAGGAAACTCTTTCTCGTGATTATCGACTCTTTGCCTGCTATTATCTTTAAGGTAAATAAGCGATACCGATCTTGTCGTTATATCGATGAGTCACAATCAGCTTACAAGTGCTTATCTTGTAACGAGCACGTTGTTAACTACAAATAAGTTTTTTACTTTATTCTTTAAGGTGTCACAACATGATAAAGAGACCATCTATGAGCTTGACGAGTTGGCTGAGATATGTCGATTTTTAACAAGGGAATGCCACGCAGTTGTAATCACAGTGAATTTGGTCACCTGGTGGAATTCACAAGATCAAGCAGGTCTTATAAAACCGGCGCTAGGCAAATATTGGATGAACGTACCAGTTATGAGACTGTTGCTAACAAGACAAAATGGTGAGACTCGGAGAATTAGCGTGTGGAGAGATTCAAAATTAGAAGAGAATCTGTCTTGCATTGTGACAGTGAACAATACCGGAATGACGTAGTAATGTAAATTAGTTTTAACAAAAATCACTCATTATAATCCTTATCTCTTGAAATGTATATATGCTTACTTGTTAAAAAATAAATTGAACTTTTGTTTGATTACTATGTGTCTGAGAATTTATTGTCTACTAACTACATTTCAAACCAAACTTATTTTTTATAGTCAAAGAAACTTACGAACATTTCTAACCAAACCTGACGGTACTTACCTAACATTTGACATGTGTCACTTTACTTTTATCTCTTTGCTTGGATTTACTGCATGTAATTTATAAATACATTTTCTTTATGCATAATTACATGTTTTGACTAGTGTCGTAAATCGCGAAAAGTTATGTTACAGGATTATGCAGATTTGCGTTAATGCCGTTAACAAAATTATATCTTAACATACAAATTAAGGAACGAAAATTAGATCTTCAAAATGAACGTAAAGAAATATATTCACCCGAGGAACAAGTACAAGAAATCGCCGAATTACAAGGAACTTGCGATCATGTACCCAGAATTTCGCGAAATTGCAATTGTGGTAATGTAATAATATTTATATCAATTTAAGCAACATGTAATTGGACATACATTTAGGTTATAGGAAAAGAAAAACAAAGTATTTAAAAATGTAGATTTTGCAAAAGTATAAAATAGTACAAGCACGTCCACAATTTATACTTTTAAAATATAATATGTTCAAATACAAATGCAAAGAAACTACTTTTTTATGTTGTTTTGTGTTGGATATTTAGGATCTTGCAGGAAAAGTCAAGATTGACTTTCAAGACAAAAAAAGCCTGCGTGTTCTCACGGAGACGCTTCTCAAGCATGATTTTGATTTACATGTAACTATTCCACCAGATAATCTGAATCCAGCAATCACACTGCGAATGAATTATATTCTTTGGATTGAGGACTTGATGAAACATTCCAAACTGGAAATGAATAAGATTACAGGCATTGATATTGGTAAATGTAACATTGCTGTTTTAACACTTTGCTGACTAGTCTATATTTGTGATTGCGTATCTGATGATTTTCTGGGCTAGTTTTGCATCAAAAATGCTGATTAGCAAGATGTTAAAATGTTTTTTTTTTTTTTTTTTTTTAAGTACAATCATATATGTAGCTGTAATAAGAGAAATAGTTTTTATAAAGAAGAGAATTATATATATGTATTATTTTTTACAATATAATGGTTTTACTTTCTAATAATTCAGCCACAATATTAGAATATTCTAGATTATTTGACATTTTTAGATTAGTTTTGTTTTAAATAGGAACAGGAGCAATTTGTATATATGCTTTATTACTGGCACAGATGTATCAGTGCCATGTAATTGCTACAGAAGTAGATAAAAAAAGTGTAGAATATGCAAAAGAATGTGTGAAGAGAAACAACTTGTGCAATTTAATTAAAGGTAAGATTTATCAAGGATAGTATTTTATTAAAATAAAGAAAATAAAAAACGTTTATAGGAAATAAAGAAGATAAGTCATGGTAATATTAATTCTCCACATAATAAATTTTCCAATACAGTAATTCTAGTGAACTCCGACAGAATCTTTAAGGACGTGATAGAAGACGATAAATTTTATGATTTCTCCATGTGCAACCCGCCGTTTTTCGAAAGTGAAGGTGACGACGAGAAAGTAGAAAAGGCCTTTCCGCCGAGAAACGCGCCCACCGGAAACGAAGGCGAACTAAAGATTAAGGGTGGCGAAGTGGCTTTTGTGACAAAAATGATAGAGGAAAGTATCGAGATAAGAGATCGGATAAAAATCTACAGCACAATGATCGGCAAGAAAGCTGATTTGTTTCAACTGAAAAGTCTGATAAGATCGAAAGATATAGAAAACTTGACGTGGACAGAATTCTGCCAGGGACATACAACACGGTAATTAAAAATGTATTGAGGCTTAGCTACTAATTTTTTGCCTCTGATGTCATTAAACAAAGACAGCGGCGAGGGAAAACCTGAGCCTTAAATAATATTTAAAATTCATGTGCTAATCTTCATTCATCAAATTTAGAAATAAAATTTTTATACTAAAAGACAAAAAGTTTTTTCAACAGATGGGGTTTAGCTTGGAGTTTTCTACCAAAGAGCGTCCTAGATCTGGGCGCCGCGCCTGTTATCAGAAAGAGTGGAAAATCTATGATGCAATGCTTCAAAAACGATTATAAAACTACGATAACATTTTCGGTTGAGGAAAAATTTTCTTGTCTGAATGATTTAATTAGCTTTTTAAGAACAACCATGGAAGAATTGAGTGTAATGTCTACATTTTTTTAGTGTTAAGTTTATTATCTGGAATAAAAATAAAGTTTTAAAGAATTCGTAACTTCAATTGATTCTTGTTATTATTGTTGTATCAGATTAAATTGGAGGACGTGGCGATTCCCGAGGACAGCTCCGACGCTTGGGTGTGTGAAATAACTGCAATGGAAAGATCGTGGGAGCATATGCGCAGAAAACGGCGTTTGATGCAACGACAACTTGCTTTAAAAAAGCTAAAAATAGAAAACAGTGAATTTGAGACGAATGTAGACATTGAAAAAATGTCTGATGCAATACTTGTTGCAGAAGAGTCGAACAATGTTGAGTTTAATAACAGTTCTTCGTCTTCAATTAAACCTGAAACTACTGCAAAAAGTAGAAGCAAAAGTTTTGATAAGGAGTCTGATGAATGTGTTCCTTTACTTACTTGCATGCTCTGCGTGGAAATGGGAAATATTAAATGTAAAAAAGGAACTGTGCAAAATATGTTCAAGATACAGATGATATTTAGGACCGGTAATGGCGGTGTGGAAGCATTACAGTCGTTGCGACAATATTTGATAAACAAATTGGGAATAAGAAATAAAACTCTGGATAATTCGTCGATATCTGCTAAGAAAAAAAGAAAAAGAACGAAAAAAACTTCCGTTATTTCAATCAGACAATCGCAGTTAGATAGTTAAGAGAGAAAGATTTTTATCGAATTATTAACGAGACAAAGAGTTTCGTTTTCACATTAGATCGATATGTTACACGTGTTACATGTAAAAACAAATTTATTTCATGCGATATGTTAAAGAAAGTTTATAACAGGATAGTATACGTAAACTAAGTATAACGTTTTTATTTGTATAATGGATCTTATACTTACTATATTATACTTCTTTTATAATACAATTTGACTAACAAGTGCGATGTGTGATAAGTTTAATTATGATTAGTATTGCGATACAAAAAAATAAGTCTGTCGACGGAAAACATCGATGCTGACCGCATATACATCATGATAATGTGTTATCCTCATCGTTAATTGATCGTTCTTTTATTGCAAAGATTGCTGGTGCTCTCGTCAGGCCTAATCTTGTTTAAAATCTATTGATGACTACAACAAAAGAATTAATCACTGCTATTTTTTTTTATTTTCTAATTAAATTACTTCGTGACTACTGCTACTGCATTATTAATCGCGATAATCTGCTCAATAATTGTGACGGGAAATTTCGTATTGCTCGACTCGAGCGAAGGATTCGCAGGATGTGTGTGTGTGTGTGTGTGTGGTGTGGTGTGGTGTGGTGTGTAAAGATATATATATATATATAAAGATCAACAAAAAAATTTGTGTACATACGTGTGTGCTGCGTATATAAAAATGAACAAAAATTAATATTAACAGTATGGTAACAATCGATTTTTATTTACGATCTTAGGACTATAATCGTCGTGAAACTGGAAGTCGACTTACCACAGTCGTGACTAATGACGCTCGATCGACGATCGATTGACTGTGTGTTCTTATCAACGAACATGATCGGGTAACAATGCCATTCGCTATACTTTTACTTCACATATCAACATTCTCGTGAGAGAAGAATGTTAAAAAAAAAAAGAGACAGTTCACTCTTATGTTAACGAAAAATTGTACACTGCTTACAATATAAATCTGATTTTTTTCAAGAACTTAAATTAACGTAAAAGGAAGCACTTTCATGCGAAGTATCATAATAGGAGACGAAAAATGGTGGATTACATATTTTGCGTGGATTACATTTTAAATGTTGTTTTTTCTGTTTTTTCTCTCTCTTGATGGCAATTAGAATGGAGTAACAATTAACAATGCCTAAAAGGCACTAAACGGTGACTTCACACGACAATTAGTGAGACAGATTAGTAATAAAAATCTGATTTATTATTATTAATCTGTGTAACATTGGTCGCATGAAAATAACGAATTGAATGCAGTTATGATGTAAAACCTATCGCATTCTAATTCTAGATGCAAAAGCCTACAGCACCTGATGCTTTTTTTTAGTATGTCAATATGACAGTTTAATATCAATGCGCATTAGTGCATCCTTTTTATTTTTGATATAAAGTGATAGAAAATAAGAAGAAAATTGATTTCTCTGTTGCAAATTCGATTGAGAATCGAATCGTTATTCTACTTACTTTAACGGATTGACGATACGATCGTCAACGGTTTCTTTTTTTATCGCGAGATGAACAACTTGAACTCTTAAAAAATGTAATCTCACGCACGCGCGCAAGTGAAGAGATCACATTGCTCTTTGATTTTACGGCGCTCCGTAAAAGCGAGACATGGCACCTTTGTTATGTAAACTTGGCGTAACAAAGGAGTGTGTGCGTTCCGCAAGCAAATTTCAACGTTGCACACGCCACCACCGTTTTGCTTCGCAAACACACCATTGAACAATAATAAAACTTTACATCTCTTTTTTCTTCTCAAGAGTCTTACAATCATACTACATACTCTGTGAACAGTACAACAAAACAATACAAATACCAAGTATTGATATATACTCAATTCTCTCGACTCCGCGTGAAATCGTCGTCTTCCACGTTGGGAGGACTAGAGCTTAAAAAAAAAGAAAAAAAAACTACTAACATTCGTTGTCGGCGTACGGAGAACTCAGCTTTCTGCTGCAACAGACTCTAAGGTGTCCGCTTTGCTGTTCTCTAGTTTCTTTTCTTCAATTTTCTCGACTTCCTTCGCCGTTATTGTGAACACCTTCTTGGTCTCGTTGTCTTCCTTCTTGGTATCATCTTTTTCAACGTTTGTTTTACCAGCCTCGACATTATCCGGCGACTGTTCTTTCTGTCGTTTTTCTATTTCTGCCTTAAAGTTGTCAATATCTTGCTGGCTGATTTGCACGAAAAGGATACCGTTGATCACGTTGAGCATATCCAGCACCGAACCCATACTGGGCGGCTGCACTTGTATTGGCGGCAGACTCACGCCCGACTTGCCTGTGTAGATCTCGTTCATCTTCTTCTGAAGCACGACCGCCTGCTGAGTCAGATGACGCAAACAATCGCTGCTCTCCTTCGTTTTCTCGTGATCTTCGCCTAGCTGCTGCTTGTAGATCGCGTATGTCTCCTTCTCGTTGTTTAACGCCGCCCGGAAATCACCCATGCAAGATTGTGTACGCGCCACTAGATGATACGATACCGCGACTTTCAATGAACGGGGGCCGTGGTAACGTAAGTTCAGAGCTAACGCGTGTTCCAAAAAGCGCAGCGACAACTCATATTCACCTACTGCGTGTAGGATCAACGAGATGTTACTCTGAAAAGAGAATCGAATGTTACGTTATCGTCTTGATGTAAACATTTTCAAAAAATATCTCAATTATCATATTTGAATTATCAATGTTGAATATATCACTAAAATGTAATGAAATATATATCACTTGATTAGACTTACGTCGAGCAGGGCCACTTCCGGATGATCTTCGCCACAGACTAACAATGCCAGATAACGTGCCCTGTACAATAATCTTAATGATACGGATACTTGGCCGTTGGCAAAGGAGTATAAGGCGAGATGTATCTGAAAACGAAAAAAAACAAAACTAATTTTTTGTAGGGAATATCAATAAAATAGTTATTTTTTTAACTCTTCAAAAAACACGTATAATATTATTATGTTTTAATTGTATATTATTCACTCACACATACTCGTAAAGCTTGTTTAACTTACGTATTCCGTAATCGTATACGGATGATCGATGCCGTTGACTCTTTCCGACATGAGAACAGCTTTCTGTTGTGTAGCAAGCGCTTCCGCGTGATCGCCCATTATATAATTCAATCGCGCCAACATTCTGAGACACTGTGCGATCTCGGGATGCATGGCGCCGTAAACGTTATTCAAAAGATTAAGCGCCTCGCTGATCAACTCGTATCCATCTTTTAAGTATCCCTGTTGAATCTTACTTTGGCCAGTGGTGTAGAAGTTGTACGCGTCGCTAGCTCTAGGATTGATATGCTTGACGACGGGGAAAATGTTCAGTATATCTTCCTCAAAGAAGGTCGCTCGATTTTTGTTTTCAAAGTTGTACTCGCGCAGTAATATCTGAATACCGGTCTTTATGCAGAAGCCGCGTAGTAGAGATATTTTCTGCAAATGAAAGTGCTCTATTGTAGCATCCAGAGACTCCGGACAGGGCGTTTCCCAGTCGTAATAGGCCTTCAAGTCACCCTTGATTTGTTGCCATAACGATCTGGGCGTCAAAGACGCCCACTCAACTTCTGATTGTTGCGGTCCGTTGTTCCTACCCTTCCGCTTGTTGCGGCGTTTCGCAGTTTTGCTTTGGAGCTCCTCCAGATTTTGTTGCGGATGTATAATTTGTGCCGATGATAACAAGCAATTCAGGAAGTGGCTAACAGCTGCGGACAGACTCATGAGCTCCGTGCCCTGCATGTAAGAGATGAAAACATGTTTAGCTGATCGGAGAATCAGCTCGGAAACGGCGATGCGATTGAGATACTGCAGTTGTGGTACCGCAGCTAACATGGCTGCCAATTTGCCAAGGTAGCGGACATTGATGCCTCTACCGTGGAGAGCCTCCACCAACGTGCTGCCATCCATTGCGGCCGCCGTGTGATCCAGACATTCTCGAATGAATGTCGGTAGTTGCACTGTAAGAAGAAAGTCTGCGGCGTCCTTCACCAATTGTTTCTGCTTCTTCAGATCAGGACCGTTAGGATGCTTGACGCCGGGTGAGAACACATCGGGATTGAATCTCACATCGAACTCGGCATCTCGCAAGCTGCCTACCGCTGCCGCAGCTTTTCGAACGATTTCTTTTGTGCTCTCTTCCAATTCCTGTTTTTCACCACCCGTAATTGAATCTGTGATACTCTCGACGATCTTTTTAGCTTCATCAGCTTCTATCAGCGACTGTTGAACGCTATCCTCTTTGTTGCTGTCCACTGTCATATTTACAAGCGAGTCTTCTTTCTTATCTTCCTTGGTCTCTTTTTCTTTTTGAGATCTTCTAGCTGACGTCAACTGCTGGAGATGAACTGCCGCGTGTTTAATAAACTGAACATATCTGGAATCGACGAATGAATCTATGAGTTCTTGACGTAAACAGGCCAGTCTGTGCTTGTGTTCAACGGGAAAGCCCAAAGCTCGCGCCTCTTTACTCAACTCCACACCTTCCAGTTTCAAAAAATTCACATCGGGTGGAAAAGTCCTCAACAAATCCAGCACATAATGTCGCGAGTCGTTACCAATGATACCTTTGCATTCTACACTGCTGCAAAGTTCGACTTCCTCACCGGCGTCATTGATTACCTTATGGGGAAGAATTTTCAATTGCTGCCCGGCTTTGTTCAGCAGCTCGAGGTACTTGGTATGAGTGAGAACCGTTTTTCCAAAGTCGATCGATCCATATACCACAGACTGTTCCTGTTCACGTTCCAATATACCCGGTATAATGGATTGCGCGGTTACGCGATAACCTCTGTAATCGATGACAACGGTGCCGAGAGTGTAAAGGCCGGGCAGATCCACAGCTGCGTACACTCGAACACCTTGCAGATCATTGCGGGGCGCAACAAAAGCAGCGGCATCGCCGCCCAACTCTTTGTAGTGATCCCGCACGTCAAAACCGAGTGAGAAGAAGATATTGTTCCAGATGAACATCTGCATTTTGGCTTCTTCTCCTGGATTGATTGCCATTACGTTGCCGTCGATCACCGCCACCGCTCCACGGGTCGCAGCAGCTACAAAGTCACTGTGAACTTTAAAAATAGCGCGTTCTCGTAACAATCTCTCGGGAAGATTTTTGCGCGGCAGTTCTCTCGTGGTTTGCAATTCCTCGTTCCAGTCGCGAGTTTGCCCAGGGATATGTTCCTCGTATCCTAACTTAGAAGAGAAAGTATCTTCCGCACGGATGGCGTCGATAGTGTGCTCGATCTGAGGTGCACTCCAGGCGTAGAGCTGATACGGAGTGGCTACTCGCTCAAAAGGATGCCTCTGTGTCCTGCGCCGTTGCATAGCCGCGAATCCTCGCTTGAAGGCCGGACTAAGCTGATTCAGCAGCTCGATTAAACTGTGACATAAATGGCTGGGCACAGCTGGTTTAGGATTGAACACCTCTTTAGTCGACTGGTTGACAAAAAAACCTCTGGCACAGGCCGTTAAATAATACTGTTTGTCTTCTAACGTGACCACGTGCAAGTACATCAGATCACCGTGAAGTTTTCTATGACCAGGCGGTGGATTCCAGCCTGATGTTGTTAAAACCTAGAGATAAAATGTGAGAAAATATGTAATTTTGTTTGCAAGAAAATATATTTTAAGTATTACATTATATATTATGCAAAAAGAGCTATTCTCTTGATTGATAAAAGGTTCTTCGACAATATACGTTTAAAAATGGAAAAGCTTGCATTCCAAAACAGAAAAGAGCTTTATAGACTTTTCTTTCTTTTTCAAATTTCTAAAGGCTAAAAAAAATATCATTGATACAATCTCCAGCAAACACGTTTATTTCGTTTTATTTGTTATTCTCTTATACTCTTATAAAGGTTTGTAAAATTATCTAGAAACCTTTAAACACGGCGGGCACTTTTGTTCCTTCGCTTGCGGCTGAAGTGGCAATAAAGGTCTGTCCTTGCAACCAGGTATAATGTAATCCGGCGGCGTGCAATCAACTGAGTCCGCTCGGGTCTTTTTCTTTTCCAAGATATCGCCATTTGTCACGACATTGAGGAACGACAGACTGCTGCATTCAACGCCATTGTAAGCGTCCGCGGGATCCACGGACTTCAGCAGGTCGCGCACGTGTCGCACGTGTATGCGAGCCTCTCGCATCGTATAAGGCTCCTCCACCACCTTGATAATGGAACCGTCCTTTAGTCCTTCAATGTTTTTCAACTCGGCGAAGTTGTCCAACGTATTGCCTCCTAGCTGCAAGGAAAAACACGTGCGGTGACACGTGTCCTCGCGGTCCATGAGCAACTGATGAATTTCCTATCATGTAAACAATAATACATGTATAATAAAACCTCAAAAATATATCACAGATTAATACATATACTTTATTGTCAAAAAATAAATACCTGCACGAGTTCCATACTGGAGACCTGAATATCGAAGGGCTCGGAACCTGGACTAACAATCTTGACAGTAAAGCCCATGTCCTGAATAAATACGACCTCCTGCTCGTTTGCGACATCTTTTTCCTTGGCTTCTTTCTCATTTTTATCACTATTTTTATCTTCCTTATTCATCTCATTTTTGACTTCCTCCGTGGCCTCGTTATTCTTATTCTCCTTCTCGACTTCTTTCGTCGATTCTATTTCTTTGTTCTTCTCTTTTTCGTCTTCTTTCGTCGCCTCAACTTCTCCTTTCTCGACCACGTTTTCCGCGGCCACGCTTGTGCTTCCGCTCTCTTTTGTCTCCTGTTTCATCTCTGCACAATCAACATTTATAAAAATAGTAAAAGTGTTAAAAAAAAGAAACAATTTTAACAATTAGATACAAAAGTTTCAAAGGTAGATCTCTTTCGTATCGTACTTTTTTTAATTTCGTTTTACTGGATTTTCTTATCGACTATCCCCTGTTCTTATCACCGTGTTATCGTGTATACGGTTTCCACTATCATTCGGCGCAGAATATATTTCGTTCTTCATGTTAGAACGTGTAATCAGATGCAGAGATAAGCTATTACAAATACAAGTTGTGAGAAGGATGTATAAAAGCGAAGAAGTATACGGTAAGTATAATAAGACGGCGGTCTCTCAAACTAATTGTTTGTACTAAAGTGGAAAATGCCAACGACAGGTTTATCGTCAATTTTATTACGCGACGAGCAGTAAAACGCGCACAGTTTCAATATATATATATATATATATATATAATTTGTTATATATTATTTATATATTTGTTTTATAAACAAGTTTATTTATAATTATTTATAATTTATAAATTTTTATTTATATATTATAGTTAAAGTGTTCTCAATCGAATTTTTGGCGTATCTCGTCTGAGCAAATTACCACTTTTCTATACCCGCGTTAATTATAAATCGTCGGTTAATTCAATTCACAAGCGTGATCCTTGTGACGGAAATGCAACGACACTGCTCGGCATTCGTTGACCTCAACAAGAGTGAACAAACAATTTGCTATTTTCTTTAAACGATTCTTGCGATTCATAGCCAATTTTATAATTTTTATCAACGTCGTATGTTGTTTTCCACATTTAATAAACACAATAAAAGTAGATATTATAGAGCTTTTTCAAATTTAGAGATTAATCGAAGAAAAACAATACATTTATATATATATATAATAAAATTATTTTACTATATAGTCAAAGTTATAAATAATTAAAATCAATCTCATTGACAAAATAAAACTTGAAAAAAAAAAAAAAAAAACGATTCAAAATTTTCAGAGACAACTTGAGCGCTTTTCGTGCGTCTTTTTATGCCTTCTGGAAGATTTGTCTTTCAAATAATCAAATTAACTAGAAAATCTGAATGTGAATATGAACTCGAATATAGATATGCCGCAGATAGTGTTTACAGCTAAATATAAACTCAAAGCGGCGGGTTTACTGTACGAGAGTTATGCGAGTTCACGACGTGTCTCGAAGACGTGAGGAGGGTCACACATTTAAACATATAAGCCCTAAGGTGAAAGTATTGTCGAGTTGCATTAGTGCATGTATGTAACGCACAAACAGTTCGACTCCGACCATCTTCATATTTTTACGGGATGTTTGCTCGTATGACGTTTTGCAGCTGTACAATAGCTGACGCGCTGATAACCCCTGCTGCTGCTGCTTATCGATACTTGTTTCGCGATTCTGCCATTGTTCCCTCAATGCATATGAAGTAAGAAGCAAACTTGCAAACTTTATTCTCCTTCTCTCATTCTTCTCTCATCCTTATCTCTCTCTATCTTGATTAAAAATTCAATGTTATTCATTTGAAGTTACGATATAACATCCAATGATTTGTTACAAAGTTTAAAACTGTTGTTTCTTCTTTTGAACATCAATATTTGTTTCCGCTTGCAAATATAAAGTGCACTACACATTGACGTCATTCTGAATATCAATGTTGCATCATCGGATTATGGTTTATCCTTAGATCATCACGTCATCGAGTCACTGTCTTCCATCGAAATTTTCTTACGGGATCGCGCGAAAATTCGATAATTTTGATTGATTGTTTCTTCCGTCGAAAAACGATCCAGCTGAAGCTCTATTACGTAAATACGATTGCAGCACGTGTGCGTGAGTCTGCGTTGATTCTTCATTGTGCGAGAGATGGATTTATAGATTGTCACTGTGGTCTCTCTCACACATGCCGAGTCAAAACGTTCGTTGAAAGGTTCTCATTTCAAAAAGTTTCAGCTAAGCGGCTAATTATCTTTTTATTGCTCGCCAGAAATAAAAATCAATAATTAACTTACACTATCTATTCGCATAAATTAAATTTCTATTTTTCATGTGAAATGTATAGAATGTGTAGAAAAAGGTCAGTCTTGAACAAAGGTCAAAGTCTACGATTAACATATCAGGATTTCATGTGTCATTTTCTATGTCAACAATATTACTTTGTAAGAAAAACTCTTTTACCTCTCTTTTCCAAATGTAACCCTTAGGATTCCTGTTTTACAACCATCCCAAATAAAATTTCACACAGCAAGTATCTCTGTCACACAGATGTACCTTTTTGAATACTTTCGTCGAACATTTTCTTACTGTTTTCCGGCTATTTTAAGGTTCTAAGACAAAAACAACAATCTGGAGTACAAACATCCAAGTGCAAATCGTAAGACAAAAGGAAATCGAGATGCGACTCGTTCAGCATTCCGCGTCAGGGTGATATTTTTGCGAAGTGGCAGAGAAAGAAAATTCATCCGTTGGCGCCGTGGTGCATCCTCTGTTAAAAACCCTCCCTTCTGCCACCTTCTTCGACGATCGGCGGCTCACATGACCCCGTGCGTCGAGATATTCGCGCAATTCTTATTGGGGGTTACATAAGATGCCTCGCGTGACGTGCGTCTCACTTCCTCGCCCGATCCTTCTCGCTCGCTCCCGTACGATCGAGGCCGGCTTTTCTCGCCGCATATGACGAGACAAACCAAGAGGAACACAACGAAGGAATTTCCCGTTGACAACCCCCCTCCCGAGAAATACCCTTGACGAGATGCGGGACGGGACGTCGTCTTCCCCCCGTCGACGATTACATAACGCGAAAAACAGGTCGACAATTCTTTTTTCGCGATTAACCTTAACTTAAAGAGCCACTGCGTGCTATCTTCGTGCGCGAAAACGCGTGTCGAGGAAGAGCTACTGACCGGTGGTGGTGCTGGTCGTTCTCGTGTCCTCGTGTTTCTGATCGCCGTTCAGCAGGGAGATCTTCGCATTGCCGGTCTTTCGCTCGGACGTGTCGATTTGTGCACCGACTGCCATTCCCGCGACCATTTAGACGAAGAAGACGAAGACGACGATGATAAGGATGATAATTAAAGCAGTAAAACCAAGAAGACGACGAGATAAAGACGCGATTTTCTATTTTTCAAACAATTCTTTCTTTAGCAAAACTTCCCTTCTTTATCCGTCTATCCGTCCGTCCGTTCATCCGTTTGTTCGCTCGCTCACCGATCCTCACTGGGAATTTTACAGATACGCGCACACCCTTTTCGAATTCCGTTCGGTACCGATGGAGAACGACAACGATAGCAGTAGCAGTAGAAGCGGCGGCAGCGGCGGCGGCGACGACGACGACGACGTCTGACTTTTTCAAAGGGCGACACACGACTCGTGCGCGCGCGGTTTCGCTGATCACACGTGCCTTTCGAATGGACTACGAACCACTACGACACATGAACTTGCGGCACGACCGTGATTGGCCTGCGGCATGAAGCTGGCAGCGGAACGCAACGGCACGCGATTGGCCGACAGCCGCTTATATCCACTGTAAAAACCTATCATGTGAAGGCCTATCTACATAAAAACCTATAACCATAAAAAAGACTGAGAGCGACCATCCTATTGTAGTTTCTTACGACAGTTTCCGCCGCTAGTATTAGCGCCATATCCACAAAAGCCTATGTCACACTACGGATTGGGATTGAGATTAGATTGAAATTTGACCAATTAGAAAAAAGAAAACCAATCCTAAGTTTAGTGATCTTCTCTCTGATTGGCCAAATTGCAATCCAATCTCAATCCTAATCCGTAGTGTGACATAGGCTTTACAGGGCGAAAGAGCGATTACACATTAATCTGTTCTTTTTACCTGAACTGGCTACACTAGTTCAGAGTTTATCTTTCTTTTTCCAATGTGGAGTAAAATTTTGGGTTGCCTGTGTACGCAGCAGGAAAGCACCCATTGTTGTGATTTGAAATTTTTTTTTAATTTACGTTTGAATTAGGTTGCGAAGATATCAATGTGGTTTTTTTCAATTTGTAAGACAGCGAATGTAAAATATGATTGTTATTTTGTGTGAATAAAATTTATATTAAATGTGCATAAATTAATTCATTGTAACATTTTACATATTTATGTTAATAAGTCTTTATATAAACTATTAATTTAACAAGGCCTTATATAAACTATTAATTTAATTTGAAGAAAAATCTTAAATAAATTGAAACAATGAAGTTTCTCGCCGATTCTGTAGCACGTGCTCGAATTGGTACACTGAGTGGATTCGAAAGAATGCCTAATGTATCTTTTGAAACACCCCTACTTATGATTTATACAAAGGTATAAGATGCAGAAATTAAATTTTTTTTTTTTAATTATATGAAATTCTTATTATATATCGAAATAATTGTAGGGTGGCGGTGTACCACATTTAACAAAAGATGTCTTTAAAATGGTAACAACAAAACAACAATTGTTATCTGTTTCACTTCCCTCAACCATATCAATGAAAGATACTCTTAAAGAGCTTAATATTTCTTTTGCTGAATTCGTCTGCATGGAGGTACAACAAAAAATTAAATAGTTTATTAAAATTTCGTTGTCATAAAAGAATTTTCTGTTCTTTTTAGGAGTATATCAATTTTTTATCAATACACGATATTGCATATACCACAAATTCTGGCTTCCAGCGATTGGACTCTATTTCACTTTGGTCCAGAACAGGAAGAGTATTTCTTACTGCTAAAGATTACATGGAGATTGTGCAGGCTTTTAAACCAGACTTTTATGTTGCTTTGTGTGATGGAGATACAAATGTGAACAGTAGTGCAAAACGAGTGTCAAAGGCTGTATCTCGAAGTAAAGTACTACTAGAACAATGTTTAGATATACACCTGGGCTCAGACACATTGAAATCAAAAGGAATATTGGGGCCAGTAGAGGGTGGGTATAATTTGGAAGCCAGAGAGGAATCGATAAGTTATTTAAAGGATAAGCCTTTAGCAGGATTTGTAATAGATGGGTTACACAACAATGGTCCAAGTGTGCAAAATGTTTCGTCAGAACAAGTAAAACAAGTAGTCCAGCACACTATTGTAAGTTTCTGAATTACACTGTTTATGTGCATATTTAAAATGCTTCCACAAAGAGACTATAATATTTTGTAGAATTTACTGCCTGCTGATAAAGTAAGAGTATCAATGGGCTGCTGGAATCCAACTACAGTGCTTGATCTTATTGAGTTAGGAGTAGATATATTCGACTCGTCCTACCCTTATGTAATCACTGAACAATCTAAGGCTTTGAATTTCATGTGCGATTGTTCTGACACTTGTGCAAGTGATGAGTATGCAATATCAGTAGCAGAGAAAAGGTAATATTAAGATATAATAATAAAAGAATATAAGGCCGCGCGCGCGAAAGCGTTTCGAATTATCAGTTCGGCCTTATATTCTTGTATGACATTTTCACGAGCCTTAAAATATTATATAATAATAAACATATTCTTTTTATGTTCTTATATGTAATGCTTATTTTTATTCTCTAGGTACAAAGATGACTTCTCTCCTATTTGTAAGAAATGCACGTGTATCACATGTAAAAATCATACAAAAGCGTATCTCCATCATTTGCAGCAGACCAAAGAAATGCTCGGCTCGGTTCTTCTAATGATGTAAGTAATTAATCAAAAATTTATAAACCTTATATAAAATTGTTTAACTACTATTTTATTTTCAGACACAACACACATCAGTACCTTGACTTTTTCACAGCCATTCGTGACAGTATAAGAAACGGAACGTTCAATCAACTTCGTACAAAATTTGTTCAAAAAACGTTACTTAGCAACTGTAAATCTGGTACTGTATAAATAGTGCATTTTTAAATTAATTTTTACGTGTACATGTACTTTGACTTTGATTATATTTATTTAGGAAACTAAGTTAGTCACATAAAAAATTCGGATCGAGATAGTTGTAAGAGGAGGAATTGCTGAAACTGTGTGGGAGATAGTCTTGGTCGTAACTTTTGGAGGATTGTGATGATTTTATAGGAATTAATCTATGAGATAGATCATGTGCAGGATTTTCTGCTTCCAATTGTGCGACCGCACAATCACCACATAAATTAACTCGATTATAACATTCAGCACAGTGCCATCTGGTACCTCTCAATGGTTCCTCACCACACACTGTACACTGTGAAAAGAATATTATTAATATACACAAAATTTATGTATATACAGTAAAAAAAAAAGTTAATCATCATTACCTTGTATCCAATATGTTGGTACAGAGAAGACGGATCCTGTTCCTTTTCAGTCTTTACTTGACAGAGTAAATCAATGTATCTTAATTCTGGATTATCACATTCTTTACTTGTATCTGTTATATCCTGAAAGCAGAAGATCCTTTACTATTAGGTTTTTAATTTGTAAAATAATAATGTAAGTTCTTACATATTCTTCTGCTATAGATTGTTCCTTATTTTCTTCAGGTATATTAAAAGAAACATCGTGATGAGGAAAGAATGTGGAACGTTTGAACAAAAAGTGATTGTTACGTTGATGTTTATGGGTTGAACTTCTTTTAATATCAAACTTTTGCTTAGGTCCCCTTCCTGGTATGGGTAAACCTGCTTTTCCAAGTTTAATGAAATACTTTTGAACTCTACTAGATACTTGCTTGGGTGTTCGATTTCCTGTGTGAAAGAAAGCAATTTTAACATCTAAACAGATTGATTTATAATATATAAACAAACTGAACTTAGTATATTTTTGTACATGTTTTTCAAATAGTTATAAATATTTAAACTGTAAGTCCAATGTTCAAAAAGCACAATATATAACACATTGAAGATAGAAAAAAATATCTGAAATCAAAACAAAGCAACAATTTGTTTTGATTTCAGATCAAAATACCTAATGCATGGGCTATCTTGGTCCACCGTCTCATCTCCACTTCTTCAGGTGGATATTCAATTAAGAGCTCTTCAAGTCTTCTTTGTTCTTCTATTGTCCACAATTGATTAAAAGTTTCAGGCTTACTCTCATCAAAAGCACGACCTCTGACGAAGATCTATCAATCAAGATTCTTGTAACTCAATATAATAGACAAACTGTGACTATTCTACAAGACAACATTGACACACCTTTCCACTTTCTCGTTCATTTTTCTGTTGAACCTGAGATAACACATGTTTGTGTCGAGTATGCGGTTTTAATCGTGTATCTGAAGATCCAACATCGTACTGCGACCAATTGACATGAGGAATGTCAGCAATAGTCTGTGGACAGGGTAGCTCTGGAAGATCGCCGTTTTGCAGCTGCGCCACAAACGCTATCGGATCTTTCATCGCTTTAGATTGCACGGACTTAAGTTCGTCCAAATCTCTTATGGCTTGAACTCTCTGGGCCTCGAGAGTTACTATAGTTTTCAGGAATGCACTGTAATCCTTGTTACCTTTCAATGCTAAATGATCAGATTCAAAATAAAATTCATCCTCTTCAGATATTGTAACTTCTGTGTCAGTCATCTTTTTAATTCATGAACTTTATATATAAATAAAAATTTATGTGCATATGTATGTGAGTGAATAGGAGAAGTATACGTTTTGGGAGGCTCGTCGGTCCCGACTGTATACGTTTTGGGAGGTTCGACTGTTATATGTATATATATCAATGATGCAGTATCACACAAATAATAATATTATCCACTCTGTCACTATCTCTTTATTTATGTCCATTCTTCTCCTAAAATCGGTTTTCTTCACCTTTGTAAAACTTTAGGTCTGTTCTTTTTACCTGAAACTGGCTGCACTAGTTCAAAGTTTATCTTTTTTACTCCACATTGGAAAAAGAAAGATAAACTCTGAACTAATGTAGCTAGTTCAGGTAAAAAGAACAGACTTCTTGATTTGTCCTTTTTCTACCTTTCAGGACTGCACTAGTTCTGAACTATTCAATTTGAGAAAAGAAACCGGAACTCGTCCGTTTTGCGCATCTCCCCTACTATAAAGTCTCCTTACTCCACAGCCATTGGCTGTCAGCAAGTGTTCCACCAATCCCGCACGCAACGCTATTCCTACTTTGCCCGCTTTTCTTCCCCTATGCGCAGTAAAATTTTCTTCTCAAATTGAACGCAGTATAGAACAAAAGAATGCGCACAAGTGTAAGAAAAGTGCAAGAATTCACACAGGTGCAGTGTTGAAAGATCGAACCGGCCAGCACCAAAAGCACCGAGAGATGGTAGGGGTACGCACACAAGCAAGAACCGCCGTCCGTGTGCGCTCGGCATTTATCGCGCCACTACTATTATTGCTGCTTGTTTAGCGACAGCGCTGTCAACTACGGGCAAAAGCGGCGACGACGACTTAACGTAAGTGAGAGAGAGCGAGAGAGCGAGCGAGCGAGCGCAGCGCCACCCGCCATCAGCACGACCGCCATCGCAACGAGGTTCGCTATTCTGTTCATCGGGACTAGCCACGAAGAAATGTCCGTAGGTTCGAGATTGATCGTTCGGAGTTCCTGTACGACGAGCATGGAGGTAGTACCGTTGTGCCTGTAACAAGCGCGAGTGAACCAAGCTCTGGATTCGGTCTCGTGCAGTCGCGAACGCGTCCCATCTACTTCCACGCTCAACATCGGGTCAGCTGCTTGTTCCGCGCTGCCTCCGCTAGGTGTTGGTGTGCGTGCGTGTGTGCATTAGTAGTCGCCTCGCCGCTGTCGCCGCGATTGTGATATCCGCGTTAACGAAAGCGCATCTCGCGCGGGCTCGTGTACGATGGAGCTGCGTGTTGGTAACAAGTACCGGCTAGGACGGAAGATCGGGAGCGGCTCCTTCGGCGACATTTACCTAGGTAAACTCCTCCCGTGCTAACGAGTTCCTCGGCTCTGTGGCCATATACTCGATGCCGCACTCTCTCCCCCTCCCATCCCTTTCTTTTCCTCCTTGCACCTCTCTCCCTCGTCCGTGTACAGTGGATTTCGTGTGTTCCACGCACGAAAGCACATCGTCTTCCTTTATGTTCCCACTTTTCCCATTCTGTTGTCTCATCTTTTCTTCTTATTTTCTTTTGCTTTTTCTTCTTTTCTTTGTCCCCTTGCTCTTTTTTTCAAATCTATTTCACGTCAGGTCATGCAAGTGTATATAAACAGGCATCTTGAATCTTTTTCTTTATTTGCAGGTACTAATATCTCAACTGGTGAGGAGGTTGCTATCAAACTAGAATGCATAAAGACAAGGCATCCACAGTTACACATAGAGTCAAAGTTTTACAAAATGATGCAAGGAGGTGGTAAGTAAATCAATATTTCTGTATGTATTAATTCACAGTATGTTTATTCTATACTGAAAGCTATCAGAAGTGTTCTCATTTGTTAGACAGCTGATCCAATATCTTTTCTTTCACACACTATATGAAGTAGCGTACTTTGTATCTTTGATATCTGCTAATTTTGCTGCTTGTTTTTGTGATTTAAACTCAGGAAAAACAAAACATCAACAACTTGATAATACTTAAATTTTAATTAACAAATATTTAAGTATTGAATAGAGATAAAAATCTTAATACTTTTACTAGAATATTTATATAATATTTATGATCAAAATTAAATATTGCAAGAAAACAATTATACACATGTAACAAGTTGTTTCAATATCTCAACAGTTAAACAACAGTGAAAAATATGTGATTTTGGTTTTACTAACAACAGTTTTTTTTTTAGTAGAATATTCATTTCTCAGTTGTAATTTTCAAGAATGTTTTATTTATTCATCACACAAAAGCTATAAAAATTTAATCTTGTTTTTAATATTGCAGTTGGAATACCAACTATAAAATGGTGTGGTTCGGAGGGTGATTACAATGTAATGGTAATGGAATTACTTGGCCCATCGTTAGAGGATCTATTTAATTTTTGTTCAAGACGTTTTACTCTGAAAACAGTTCTACTCCTTGCAGATCAATTGGTAAATAGCATTGTTTTCTTACAAACATTTGTTGCACATATAGATACAAGTGATATAAACTGCTAGTTATTTTATATCAATTATAAGACAGTTAACTGTATGAAGTAAACTGTGTGTATTGTTAGAGTAGACTATATTTTTTATAAATTGTTATTTAGTTTTGGAGATAAGTTATATATTATTTATATATTATTTTATGAAAATTCTTATCAAGTTTTTGTGCTTTTTATTTTCTCTTATACAAACAGTTTTATTCTATTTATGTATACATTTATGGGTATATTCTGAGATAACAGGCAAAACAGATAACTTCCATCTTATTATTCTGATATAGAACTACTTCAGTGTAGTGGTGCAGAGAATTCTTCAAAGCACAGATGTCTTGTGTTCAAAGTTCATGTTATGATTACATTCAAGTATCTGTTACTTTATTAAGGAAGTTTGTGTATTTTATTCAATGTTTTGCAAGCATCATTTATGTGTTCTTCTGATAAGTACATGTTTTTCTCAAGGTATTACTTAATGTATTAAACAGTTATTGAAGATCTATTGTACAGATGTATGTGTATGCAGATAAAGAAAAACAACTTAATAAAATAAGATTAAATGTATTAATTAAATTTATAAAAAAAAATCCGCAAATATGTATAAATACTTTAGGAGAGAAATTAAAAAACAATTTATATATAATATATTACACACACATAAAATAGATACATATGTATTCTCTCTCTTATCAACTTAGAAAGCAGTATGCAATGTATAAATGTGCAATTATGAGTAAAATACGAAATAAACTGTTTATTTGTATCTCTGCATGTGATCTTTGAAGCATAAAACATGTGCATAATACATGAAATTGCAGCGTACAGTTATAATAACAGTGCTTTAACTTCTCTATTCTACAGATAAGTAGAACAGATTACATTCATAGTCGCAACTTTATTCATCGTGATATAAAGCCGGACAACTTTTTGATGGGTCTCGGAAAAAAGGGAAATCTCGTCTACATTATAGATTTTGGATTAGCCAAAAAGTATCGCGATGGCCGCACACACAAACACATACCCTATCGAGAGAACAAAAATTTAACAGGGACAGCTAGGTCAGCATATTTCATTATATATTAGTTAAATATCAATGTAAGATATGTGTTCTAATTAATTATAAAAATAGATACGCGAGTATAAACACACATCTGGGAATTGAACAGTCACGGCGAGACGATCTTGAATCTCTGGGATATGTTCTCATGTATTTCAACAGAGGTAGTTTACCTTGGCAAGGGTTGAAAGCGGCGACTAAGAGACAAAAGTACGAACGTATTTCGGAAAAAAAAATGTCGACTCCTGTGGAAGAACTATGCAAAGGTTATCCTCGTAAGTTTCTTCGCAGTGTTTATCAAATAGTGTTACTTTTTTATATAATAAATTTTTATCACATCTTTGTTTTTAAAACGTTATAGTGAACATTTTATTAATTATTGCAGTAGAGTTTTCGTCGTATCTAAGGTATTGTCGGGACTTGCGTTTCGAGGAAAGACCGGATTACTCGCATCTCCGACAGCTTTTCCGAACGTTGTTTCACGGCCAGGGCTTTACGTATGATTACGTCTTCGACTGGAATATGCTAAAGTTTGGTAATGCGAGACAACCAACGTTACCATCTGCGCAGCAAACGCCTATGCACTCGCAGCCGTCTAACGCGGCGCTACCTTCTGGGACCAATAACGATCAGGAGCACCGATCAAGGTCCGTAGCTTTAAAAATATTAGCTTACGTTTTGAGACGATATCTCGATATGTGAATTGGGCGGCCTGATTGTACTTACAAGATCTTTTTATGTATTTATAAATAGCACAATCATTTCATTACTCATAAGCGCACTCTATTTTTGACGACTAGGGCAATGAATCAAGGAAACGCGGCCGCCTCCGACAAAACGAATAAAAAACAACAATTTATAGACTGTCGTAGTCTTCAGTACTCAATCCTTTCTTACTTGGAAAAACTCAATCTAATATCTACTTTTAATTAGTCGTTTTTTATTCAAATGCCAATCTGATTGATTCTGATAATATGTTTCATTTAACATGCAAACTCAATTGCCAATAAAAAAACTACACAAGAAATAATGCGCTATTTTTTTAAGATATTAAAATAAATAGTTAAATACAGACAAAAAAACTACTGTAGCATTATCAATAGTCTTATGTTTGTTTCTTTTTTAATACATATGTAAATATGAATAGATAATTTAAATTTACAAAAATTTCATTGTAGTATACTACGTTTTGTTTGTTATATTTTTGATTATTGACAACGTCAATATCAATATTTCCCTCTGCATATATCTTTTTAGGCCCTATACACGGCAGTGTTTGCCGAACGCGTCTGTAGCGACGGTAGGCCCAACGCTTGGACCGAATGCTAGTCTACGAGCGATCCGGCAAAAACGTGAGATGGAGACCCGTGGCGACCAGGACAATCAGGACAAGAATGATCTTCAAGGTAAAATACAATTCTACCAACAATTCTGCGCGAGCCAACAGAATTTCGCTATTGCCGAGCGAAAAACACAACGTAATGTGCAAGTCGGACACTCGCAGCAGCCTACGCCTAGTGGCAATGAGACCGTCACCGCCACCGCGACACGTGTGGCAAATCCATGTCAATTCAGTACATTCAAGTCAACTACTGCGGGTAGTAGGGCGGTGTTGCCGCAGCTATTGTCGGACGCGGCCGCTTCTCTAGACCTGACCAGTCTTAATTTAGGACGTAGTCGTGAGTTAGGTCGTACTACCACGGAGTTAAATCCTATGACTGCGTCGCGCGATCATTACCAACCGACGGTGAGTAGAACGCGCGAGAGGAGCCCGAATACGGCGTCCCGTCAGCTCGATAAGCAGAGTTATTTTTTTCATGGGCATAAAACTGAGAAAGACGTAGATCGCGAAGTCTTGATGTTCGAGGATTTAGGGACAGGTAGCTCGAATTACGCTCGACGAAAGATAGATAATGCGGATAAAGTCGCGGCAACCTCGGGCGGTACAATGAACTGCTTTGGCGGTCCGGACAAGAAAGAAAGTTACGCCGACTACGACAACGATAAAATGCTCCGTTCCACAATCGGTAGCGTGCGACGTCTCACTATGGCGTACGAGATGCGTCGCGACTCGGGAAACGTGGAGTTTCTCGAGAAGGAAGGCGAGATCTTTAAGAAAACTAGTAGCGAGTTGTTGCAAGATACTTCTGTTAACAAGCGCAGAAACTTTTCTTTCCGCAACAAGGAAAAGACGCACAGGAGCTTGGAATCGCTTGAGAGAAGTATCGATCTTCACGCCACAGACTGCAAAAGTTTGGATCTTCTGCCCGAAGAACGGACGAAGACCCTATTCCACGATAAACAAAGAAGTCTCGATTCCACGCAAAAGATAACAAAGAAAACGGTTGAAACGACGAGCAAGACTCGCAAGCGACCTAACTTCTTCCAACGAGTCGGCAAAAGTTTGCATTTTTTACCCAGGGAGCGCGTGAAGCGCCAAGACCACCTGAAACAGGAGGAACAGCCGATTAACAGCCACTATCTTCAGACCGATCAGAAGAAGTGTGAATATTTTTTACAGAGACGCCACAAAGTCGTTGATTTTTTTGACGAAAGGCCAAGTGTGCTGGCTGATCGTGCTCCCGCTCAATTCAATCTCGGTTCTTTCAATGAAGTAGACACTAATTTTATGCCGAATTTTGCTGTTAACAACAGTCTCAAAGACGCGCGACTCGAGAAAACTACGTTTTATGTAACCGAAGGTTCGAATAATCCTTCAGACGCAAATACCACGGAGAAGAATACAAGACAAAGTAATTCAGATGCTAGCGAGTCATCGGTGCAATCCGACAGTCTTGCCAACACTGCCGAACTAGTGCAATCAAGACTCTTGGATCCCGTTGCGAGCGTTGCCACGCAGGAGACCGTGAGCGGCAACAAAGACAGTATGGAAATCGGATATTCCTTCAGCCAACTTGGCAGACTGTACTTACAGAATCTACAGCACGTGGGTCATACGGACGGTTTACAATCTCTGGAGAAGATCGACGTAGACGCAGAGAAGCGTGAATGTTACTTAAAATGGATAGCCGGAGACTTGGATGCTCCGAGTCAAGGCAGAAATTCAAGCGATTCTCTGACGCGTAGTAAACCGCAGGGTAATTTCGACATTCTCAAAGGTATCCTCTTCGACATTTTCGTTTGCATTTGCATTTAAAGGACGAACTGACCCTGCTGGGATCCTCGATCGTTAAACAATGCATCCTCTTACATCACGTACCAAGCGATCTCTCTCTCTCTCTCTCTCTCTCTCTCTCTCTCTCTCTCTCTCTCTCTCTCTCTCTCTCTCTGTCACACACACACACATTATGTTCTCGAGAAAAATATACAGAAATCACACACACACACCAAGATTTCGATGGGTAGAAACTCTGAGATATATTTTTAATTAAAAAAGATATTTTTTTAATTAAAAACGCGATTTTTACACAAATAGTTTTCTTACCTATATTTTTGGGAGTATATTTTCATAGGATACTATAAAATAATATCTAATACTATATAATAATATCTCATATTATATAATATCTCTCACTATATAATAATATCTCTGAGATATTTGTATTTTCTACACTGCCGAAATATCGAACGACTAATCACATTGAAATCTTGGATGGTTGTATGCGAACAAATAATAAAATTGCCTTAAAAAAATCTTCGATTGAGAGCAATTGAATTAAGTTATAACGTTCGACATGTGGCCTCGAATACGAGTCGTATTTTTTTCCTATTGCACACACACACACACACACACACATATATACATATATATATAATGTACGCGTAAACATGTATTGAACTTGATGAATCTTGTATACCCGTGGCCTCATGCACTCATTAGGTTTTGAGAAGCGCGTCGCTAGATCTCTGACGTCGCCCGCTCTTGTCATATATGACGTATATGACGATGATGAGATCAAGTTTGTTTTGTACTGTTTAGGTTTTGTATTATCATAGCGGTTGATAAGCACTCACATACCAAATCACAGCAATTAACATATATTAATCAATTATATAATATATATACATTTACATGCGTACGTACATGGTTATTGAACAACTGCATGCGCAATCACAATCGTGAACGTGGAAAAAAAGAAAAAGAAAACTTGTATAACTTGAAGTTTATCTTAAAATTATTTTAATATTATTTAATTTAATAAGTGATTGTCAGGATTGTATACACATTAAGAGTGTTTTTCTATTGGTGATTTGTTTTATGATACACGGTTTTGTTGCTATACGTAAATTTAGTTTTGTTTTTGCATATTATAATATATTCTACAGACGCACGGGATACACTTTCTACTATCGGAGAATATTTCTTTCCGCATAATTTTTATCAGAGAGTGTTCTTTCTTATGCGGCGATCTTTTATCGTCTGACAAAATCAATTCATTTGTAGGAAAACAGCAAGTAAGGATTGCGCTCGGCGCAGTTTATAAATGACGTAATAATTTATAAAACGTAAGAATGTATGGCTTTAAGTATTTCGTATAACGTATTTATAATCTTGCCTCGAAGATTTTTCAATTAATTTAGACTGACCGAAAATTAATAGACTGAAAACTACCAGAAAATATTTCAAAGCTTGTTTACGGCACCGTAGATATCATTTTTCTCTGTAGTATTTTATATTTTTGGTTTGCTCTCCAACTTCTTTTGTTTTCTTTTCTTAATACATACAATTAACGTCATTTCTTGTAATTATAATATCTCATAATATAAAAATAAAAAATTAACAATGTTATACATACACAAAAAGGTGTTATTTTATTTTCATAAAGTAACATGAATTTCAAGTTATTGATAAATTTACATATTTCTAAAGCATAATATTGCGCGTGTGTGTGTGCAATATTATTTTTTATGAAACGTAACATTTATTATAAAATGTATGTCTACGGATGCTACACAAGCAAACATAAAAAAACATCAATTAACAGTTTCACAACAGTTCCTCTCGAGAAAGTTTTGATTAGTTGACGCGTTCTTCTCTCTGTTTTATATTTTATATTTATATACATATTATATATTTGTAGATTTAGTATGATAAAAATCTTAACTGAGATCTTTATGTCGATTTTGCATTGTTCCAAAGGCATATAATAATGCTATGTGAACAAATTGTTTATTAAACATTAATTTGTTTAAACATCCGTTTCTTACACATGTTATCGCATATAAAATAGAAATTTATAACTGCGACCACTTTTTTAACGGTCTCATGTGTACAGTAATATACCGATAAGAATTTTCGAGTTTGGAACCGTTTTGAGAGAGAAAAACAGAGAAAAAGAGAAATAAAGTAATCAAGTGGGATAAAGTCGATAAATTGCAATCGAGAAAAATTCTGAACTCTTATCGAGGTAATACTGTGCACACAGTCTCTCCACATACAAAGAACAAAAAAGTAATTTAAAGACTGTTATTTTCATAGTAATTAATTCGAACTCAAGTCGACTGATTTTTTTACCGCACTCGAACATTGAATCTCAAATAACTTATTGCTGTCATTAAGCACATTTGAAGCGTGAAACACTATTTGCTGGCAAATTAAACATGAAAAAACGTTACTGCGTTCGTTATATCGCAGATATGAAATTATCGCGTCATTTGTTTTGATTGATCGTAATGATTGCAAACGCGTTGTTAGTTTATAATTAGCGTTTTCAAGAAAAGATGATGTGTTCCTTTATTTTAATCATTGACATTCTCATCATTTAATCAATTGTACTCCCCGCAAAGATGTGTGCGTGTGTGTGTGTGTGTATATATATATAAATATATATATATACGCACGCGCGCACGCACATTCTTCTTATTAGTCTTTGCATTACGTTTATCGATACATTCTGGTGAAATGGAAGAAGTAGTCCGATGGAATCAATGGCTTCTCGCAATTTAATAGAACTTGATGTATTTTTTTTTTTTTTTTCATGCGTGTGCCACAAGGGAGCGTTAAGAGATGTGGAAAAGTTACCAAAGCTTAGATAGAGAAGATAAAAATCTAGTTTGCTACTTATCCGCGATCATTATACGTAACTCGAAGGATGATTCGGTCTTACCATTCTAGATGACACAATTACAAATGAGATTTTATCGTTTGTCGCGAGATATACATATCTTGCAACGACACTGCCCAACTTCTTCCTACGCACTAGAATCATCTCACGGGCATCGTTGTTGAATCGTCCAATCTTTTCGTTTTTGCTCACTCTCGTTCTCATGGAGTCTTCATATATCGTATATCTATTTGTAATCAAGCTGTTTTTTATTGATAATGATGATAATGATAATGATAATGAAGAGAAAGTAGCAAATAAATGTTTTTCCATTCAAGGACTGGTCTGTTTTTTATTTATCTCACCACACGATATTGTCGATTATCCTTGTCAAAATTGTTTCTCACTTGGCTTGAATGGAAAAACCCACCGCCCAAAAAAAAGAAAAAAAGTTATGATTCTCTCTCATAATGTGTTGGCAAAAGAAAAAGAAAAAAGGGAAAGTCTACTTTTTGGCTACTTTTGTGCGTTTTGTCACGTTATTCCTATAGAAGTGTACATCGCATTTCCTTGTTTCCAAACATTTTCGCATACACTTCGTTTTTTGGTTTTTTTTTCTTGTTTTATTGTAATTATTAATTTTTCCATTTCAATTGCCAAGAGTGAAAGACTACGTTCCCGTGTCGTCTGGTTGATGAGTCATTTGCAGAAAACGATATTGATTACAGAACATGTGTGATTATTGTTGACGCATCAACCTGATGAGTATATCCTACACATAATTATCTCGTTTATTCTTATCGTTCTTTCAAGAAATCTATCTAAGGAAAAATGATAAAATATATTTTATTTGAATAAAAACTTGTAATTAAAAAATAAATTTAACAATTATAAAATTATTAAAACTAACAATTATAAAACTAAATTGTTTTATTAGTTATATTGAAGTAAATGTGTTTTCAGATATTAGCGCAATCATAGACAAAACTTATCTTAACTTATCTAGTATGTAATAATTTTTTTTCTTTTCTATATTTGTTAAGTATATAATTTATGTATTAAAAATATAAAAAAATATATATATTACTTTTATATAAAACTCATTTATATAAAGAATAATATATATATTTTATCAGAATCGTTTCAATTAAAACATTAGAGAAATATTTCAATTAGTAAGAAGAGATATAGATAGATATATACGCGAAAGCTGAGATTAGTAACTTTTGTAAGTCTGCAATAGTTATTCGGACTAAGGTGCGCAATGAGTTTTACGGTTTATGGGGCCATACATGAGCGTCCCGAAGTTAAAAGCTCTAAATTACAGGTTGACACATGGTGGGTATAATACACACATATGTACTGTAATAATTGACAAACGTGTGCTTTGCAATGTAACGAGTGTTCTTTGTCTACTGTTTTTCCTATACCTCTTTTTTTTCTCGAGCAAACTACTTGCACGATTGAATGTACTGACCAAAAAAAACCAATTGTTATCGGCGAATCTCACGGGAGTCTCGAGTTTTGAAAACAAAAACATTGTTTATTGAACGAACATTTGCCTATTTCCTTATAACTGCTTTGGAATTTGTATACAAGCCTTTGAATCCTGCTGTAAATCGAGAAAGGCAATAGAGAGTTTTGTTTTAATTTACATGTATAAACGTGGTGATTAAAGAGCTAATTCCACACAAAATGGGCAGAGGTGGCAGCGAGTGACGACGCAAAAACACGTAGGATTGTTGGCTGAATTTTTTTGCGATTTTTCATGCATTATGTTTTTTCTAATCCTCTCTTTCAGCATCGGGTGGCCAAGAACGGAGGGTCAGTATGCGGTTGACCCGTAGAGATGCGCTTCTAGCCAATGCAGCGGAAATGCAGCCCAAGTCCAAGTGAGTTGCTACATGATACAGAACGACTGAACACAATGAGTATAACTTGCTCTATTCAGATCTACAGGTGTCGTATTTACAAAATTTTATAATAAAATAACAAGTTGTTTCCACAACATTTATTTCACAGCGCACACACAGTTTTATATAAAAAATTTTGTATAAAAATTCGTTTAGATAGACAAAAACACCTGCAAAAAATTTTGTTAGCCAATGTGGTTTCAAATTTTTTTTTTTATAGAAAATGTCAATATCAGTTTTTAATTAAGTTCCTATAATTGAACAAAATACTTTTTTAAAATCACCTTGCGTGCATATATATGTATATTTATAATCGTAATTTTTTTTGTGTCGATAAGTTTAGAGCCTGTTATACTCGTCTTTAAAGGTTGCATGAAAGTTGCACATTTGGGGGAAAGTTGCATTCTATATAAGCCTGTTTCCAATTCTATTTACTATTCTGTTTATATGTCAAGCATTTATAGTAGCGGTGTGATATGATGTGGTATGAAAGTTTGCAATATTTTAATAAAATAGTATGATATCGCGATATTTTTCTACTGTCACATTCTCACGGGGACTTATTATTCATTGCGCAATAATTCAATTTTGATTGCAATTTTTTTTTTTACATTTGTGCAAACATTAGATCATGATTTATGCGTTGATTGTATAATATGTATCTATTTAGTCTTTTATACGATTAGGCTTCAAATCAGCACTTAGCTGCAGTTTTGCTAATTGAATATATAATCTTTTCTGTTTTTAATACATCATTATTAGATACATCATCGTATCTGTTTATTGTTGATCAATAAATATTATATAAACGCTTAAGTTTTGGCAGGAAGATGGTGTCGCAATACCGTGGCATGGTTCTCTAATTATGTATTATTGTTATTAATTCGGGAGAAGAGTCGGGAAAAGAGGAGGGGTTGGATGGAGGAATACATTTTGTCATTTGGAAAGAATTCTCGATTTGTATTTTAAGATGTCTTATTATTGTCGCAATAGCAATATATATTCTTCAATAATTTTGATAAAACAATTTCTTCTGACATATCTTTGTACAATTAAATCTTTATTATTGACTTTTTACTTTTATTTTTTTTCTCATTATTTTGTCATTTTCAAATTGTTGATTCTAAATATATATCGTTAATAATAACATCTATAATAATAAGATCTTATAAATTATGTCAGTAATAATAATAAAACAAAAAGAGAGAAAAGAATAAATGGAAGAGTACATCATGAATGTTCATACTCGGTCAGAAAAGAATTACAAAGAATTACAAACATTCTCTCCAAATGAAGATCAAATGTTACTATTGCTTGCTATCAAATGCACTCTCACGATAATTATTTTTTCATAAATTTATATTAGAACACGGTTATATAACAATCTAATTATAATTTTTACAACACAAGATATAATTTTATAAAATGATAGATATATCTCTATAACTGCTGTAGTTTGTGATAGCCTCGGCTACAAATTTTTGGAGACTATCGCATGTGATATATTAATGAAAACAATTTTTAATAATTCTCTTTGTTGGAATCGTTAGAGATTCAAATCTAATGTATAATGCACTTTAAGTTATGGGGATGCCCGAATATTGAAGTCTGTGTAAAAAAAAAAAAACAAAAAAAAAACTGTAACACGTAAAGTAAAAGTTGACTAATCTCGAAACAAAATTGAAATCGTAAAATTTCACCATATCCTTCAACTACGATATTTTCTAGGACACAATATTTTCTTCGCGAGAGAGGAAAGAGGACGTTCACATTTGCCTTTCAAAACTTGTAGTGCTAAGGCGTATATAGCAATAAGACCATAACGATTCATAGAATAACCGAACGACCAGCTGGCTATTGCACAACTCTATACTTGGTAACTGGTTAATCCACTTTAGATCTTAAAACATAAACTTGATCTATAAAGCTGAGTACATTATTGCCGTCATATACTCGTTAATAAAGAGTATCAAAGCAGATGCGATTTAAAACACAGATTATATGTGTGTATTTTTTTTATTGAACATAAAATCCGGTTAGGTTCGGATTTTATATTCAACACACACATGTCAGATATTATTTATTCAATAAAAAACACATTCGTATAACCTATGTTTTGGCTCGCATCTGCACTGACTTTATTTCATTTTCTCGCGAGCTTACCCAGTTCTCGTTAATACACTTTACTTACTAAAACAGTAGTCATACATGTGTTTATTCTTGAAATTATTTCTATCAGACAAGTTTTTCTTCTGAATAAATTTTGTCTGATTAGTTTGAACTCGGTTTAATATTCTGTCAATGTATAATTATATAAAAGTTGTATATAAAAGAAGAAAATATATATACATGTAGCACATTTACGGCTACATATTTAATTATAATAAAAAATGATTATTGTCACTTTTTATGTTATTATTTTTGTCCAAAAAACAATTGTTTTTTCTGTATATCTCTCTATTGTACACATTTCTTGTATTTTCCGATTTAATGTGTGCCGGGCATCCCTTGAAATAATTGTGCATGTAAAATATGCACGTTTCAACGCTCGAAATTACTAAAAGTACAATTTATATTATATACATAATATATATTTACATACATATAATATATACACATATCAATTTTCTATATGTTATTTATGAGAGAAAGTTATAGACACACCCAAAATTATTTGGTATCGAAATAACTTAACCGAATTTCCGCTTTATGTTCTTTCGTTGACTTTTTTCAGGTAACCGAAAGCTATCGCACTAATTCTAAATGACAAAAGTAGGCAAAGAGGGGGCGAAATTCTCTCCTGTGCCACGGTAGAGGACGCCGATCGTGAAAAGCTCTGATCACAGGGAAAAAACTTACGTCGTGCGAGCCTTCTCTCTGAGTTCGTCTCTCTTCACAAGCTTCTCGACATTGTCAATATATTTATATAATCGTCATTACATGTAACAAAAAATAACGATAACTTTTGCAGTATTTTTATCTTCGTAATCAGACGAAACATAGAATAGTTGAATTTGTACGTTATTATTTAATAGTCGACTCTATTTGTCGAAGAGATATATACTTAAAAAAATTACCTTTACGTATATTATTAGATATATATAACATAAATTTCAAAAATTCTAGCAAAATTTTGTACATAGAAAATTATTGATATCTTTGCTAGAACAATACTGATTTTTATCATGGAGAATAATAATTAAAATTTCAATTAAATTAGATTATTGTCGATTAGATTATTTGATCTCTTTTTGTCACATGGAAAACAAACAAAAAGCTGGACCGAGACGTGAAGCTGGGGTGGTTGGACGTAACAACTGAGAGAAGGAACGCCGGAAAAAAGGGAATAAAAGAGAGAACCTTTAGCTCGTTTATGTGATGAAGACGGTGGCGCGCTAATGTCGCTGTTTTGTGTGTCTTTTTTTGGAAGCGCCAATGCGACGGCAATCGCACCACCCACTCTGATGGTCAGGCGGGCAAGCGTGCAACACAACAAGTGAATCAGCATCAGCACTAGCGGGATCGTCAGCCTCGTGTCCAAGATCGTTCGTCCGGAGCGACGACCAACGATTGTCGCCACCGATACGACGATGTCGTGTTGCCTTCTGTCGCGAGCCGGAAGTGAACGTCTCGCGCGTGATATCGCACGAGTATTTGGCAATCGGTGACACGATGCAACGCAACGTTTTGTGCAACACACAAAAAAATCGGCGGAGACGTCGGTTACACAACGTTTGTCGAGTGCGTGACAGTGGTGTTTGTTATAGAACGTCCTCGGTGGATATTACAAAAAACTAACGAAAGCAACTGTCTTCGAGTGGAAAACGGATAAACGAAAGAACCGTCGTTTGTTCTGACGGATATGTTGAAGAGACAAGATGTGCGCGAATACACAGTGGTGAAATGCAGCAGCAGATCTAGCGGCTGATCATTTTAGCAACCCAAGAACTAACAGTTTTCGTCATAAGATTTGCAAGCGGAATTTACACTCACGCAAGTCAAGACCAGGATATTTCCAGATCTCTTTATCTTCTTCCTTTCTTTTCTTTCCTATCTCATTATCTTTCCCTTTCTCACGACTAGTGAGTCTTGTCTCGAAAAACGTGCTCCACCTTTGGCGTTGACGAAGAAGATGACGATGTTCAAATCGTCGAGATCCTTACATGTGTAAGATGATTACAAAAAAAAAAAAAAAAACAACAAAAAAAACAAAAAAATCGCAATTGTGATCGTTTTATTTTTGGGACGAATCGCAAATGTACAGTACGCGATTTCGATGATGGATTCTCGCAGTTGTTCATTAAATATAAATTTTGAGAGACCGTTGAATTTTCACTGTTTTTGCGGCAAGTTGGTTGTACTATAGCTAGTTTTGCTTTCTTTTAATTTAAATTCCTACAAATTCATTTGCGTGTACGTATGCACATAAATAAGAGTAATATTCGATTTGCCGAGTTTAGTAGTATTTTTAATTGTTTCTCGAAGGCAGCTTCTTTTAGACAACAATTGAAGCTGAGTAAACATTATAAAAAGAGAAGAAACTAATATTAAAAATGTAATATATATCATAAACTTCTATTCAATAGATATCACGTATTTCATTCGGGTGCAAATTTGTTCTTAAAAAAAAGAGTTTAATTGTTGCTTTTTTCTAAGATTATTTGTGATAATCACTCATAATTTGTATAATCGGTCGTTACTGAAAATGATTTCGCGTTTCGCGAGACAGCCATGCGAGAGTTGATCCAATATCGCGCGATTATATTCTCGATACATTTGTATAAATGTAGGATATTCCTTCGTATAGATTACGTGTACATAGATCGAACACATCGGTGACTGAGCAGCTATCCAGTATATAAAGCTGTATTCGCGGGAGTTGTTCGCCCAGAGCAACATAAATTACATTTTCAATGGAAGATATAGCTCCGTGTTAGTGTCCAGAGAATTAAGCGCGATCGTGGAAAAAATCTCACGATCGCAATTACAAATTTTGCTAGAAAACGTGTGTTTGGCGTCGCCCATGTTCGTACCTCAAACTCGGTTCGTCGTTGTTCCGGTTGAACTAACGATAAATATAGCTTTCGGGAACGTTTCTGTTCGCGTTGGTGTTGAAAATGTTGAATGTTCGAATTAATCGAGATCGTATGTTTAATCGTTTTGTTATTCTCTTGAAGGTACGTTCGAAACGGTTTGGATACACAAGTAGATCGATCGGTTTTAGGAAGCTCTCGAAACGCTCTATTCTCGGGCCGATTTGCGATACGATACGACGGCATGTCAAGTCGTTTCTTATCTAAAAACAAAAAAAGCTCTAGTTAAACGATCATACAGAACGTAGTACAACAGGCGCGCAAGGAGGAGACGGGGGAGTAACGTTTAGTTTTAGGGATAATTCGTTCGGTTGTGCTAGGTGGTAAGGAGAAACAAGACGATTGCGAGACTCCGAACGTTTCTGTTTCATCAGTATCGATCGGCCGTACTGTACAAGTGGTGCGTCACGTGTGATGTATATTATAAACGCGGTTATCGTTAACCGTGCTCCAAGGAGAGAAGTACATCACCTGACACTGAATCCCTCTGCGAAAAAAAAAGAAAGAAGTTTCTTTAATCAAAGAGAACAGGACGCGCAAAAAGGAAACTTTTTTCTCTTTTCCTTCGCGGAACGATTCAGTGTCGATCGGTGTAACGTGAGTCTTACGTGCGGAGAGTATGAAAACTGCGAGTTAAATGTAACAAATTACATAATGTGTGTGACCTCTCCTTGCCCTGTGACATAAACCCCTTTCCTTTTGTACGGTAACAATACCAACCCTGAGATCGTGTGGATAAACAATTTAATAAGCGCTCGATTCTGTTCACCGATCTTTCGTTTTATTGTCGTTTTCTTCCTTTCTTTTCGGAAAATGTATCACTGACAATGTGTATTGTACTTCGTGTGAATACGTACCAAAAACAATTGATCATCAGTGAACGGTATCGAAGCTTCGTCGTTATATCAATGCGGTGATTCTCAAACGTAGTGCCGTGAAAATATTAAGAAAGTATATTTTAAAAATGAACAAAACACCTATTTGTATAGAGATTTATTGCTTGAACTCTAAGTTATTTTTAATTCATAGTAAAAAATCATAGGTATAAATATGTTATTTCTTTAATTCTTTAAACGAAGCGTGTGTGTGTGTGTGTGTATGTATTGTGTCAGAAGAATTGTTTTTGTGCGCTACACAAGTCAAAATAGTTTGAGAATCACTGCACTACTGTATGCATGTGACGTGTTTGTAGGAGTACTTTTGTATGTGTGTGTCTTGTATGCCGATTACATACGAAATGTGTGCACGAATACGAGGAGGAAGAGGAGAAGAATGATGGGGAAGGAAAGTGATTAAAGTTCTTGTGCATAGAGAGAAAAATATCAAGGAAAAATGTTTCATCGTATTGCATTTTATAAAAAACAAAAAAATAATTTTGTATCCTCAGTTTAAAATTTAGCGTCAAACGCGATTGTATTTATATTATTTATTTCATATAAAAATTTCTCATAATGCAACTTGAGTTTTTTTGTCGGAGAATAATCGAGCAATTTTTCCGAATTACTTTTATATATTTGCGAGAGACAAAAAAACTCCAAAATTTTCGTCGTGAGGTTAAAAAAAGAGAAGATCGATTATTTTCTCTTAGTTAATGATCAATAAAGTTCATCCGTTCCCGCCTCATCATCTTCGTCTTCTTTTTTTTTTTGCCCTACCCGCTTTTTGGTTCTCTTCCTATGTCTTTTGTACGATATATTGTATGATGCAATCGCATATAGCAAAATGGAAAAAAAGAAAACGTGATAACAAGTATATATATATATATATA